AAAATCTCCAAAAATGCATGGATCCACTATATGGCCCACAGCGATAGCTATATCTTTGACAAAAATCATCAGATTCTTGAGCGGAATACCTTAAACGATTCGTGGGTCGATTCTGCATAAATCTGCATCAAAATCTGAGAACACAATATTTTTTAGATTTTTTGTCAAATTTCCTGGATGGTCCCCTTCGAAAATCCCCATAAATGCATGGATCCACTGTATGGCCTACAGCAATAGCTCTATCTTTGGCAAAAATCATCAGATTCTTGAGCGGAATACCTTAAACGATTTGTGGATCGATTTTCCATAAATCTGCATCAAAATCTGAGAACACAATATTTTTTAGATTTTTTGTCAAATTTCCTGGAGTGTCCCCTTCGAAAATCTCCAAAAATGCATGGATCCACTGTATGGCCCACAGCAATAGCTATATCTTTGGCAAAAATCATCCGATTCATGAGCGGAAAACCCTTAACGATTTGTGGATCGACTCTCCATAAATCTGCATCAAAATCTGAGAACACAAAATTTTTAATATTTTTTGTCAAATTTCCTGGAAGGTCCCCTTGAAAATCTCCAAAAATGCATGGATCCACTATATGGCCTACAGCGATAGCTATGTATATTTTTGCCAAAAATCATCCGGTTCTTGAGCGGAATACCTTAAACGATTTGTGGATCGATTCTCCATTAATCTGCATCAAAATCAGAGATTATAATTTTTTTTACATTTTTTGTCAAATTTCCTGGAAGGTCCCCTTCGAAAATCTCCAAAAATGCATGGATCCACTATATGGCCCACAGCGATAGCTATATCTTTGACAAAAATCATCAGATTCTTGAGCGGAATACCTTAAACGATTCGTGGATCGATTCTCCATAAATCTGCATCAAAAACTGAGAAAATAATACTTTTTAGATTTTTTGACAAATTTCCTGGATGGTCCCCTTCGAAAATCCTAATAAATGCATGGATCCACTATATGGCCCACAGCGATAGCTATATCTTTGGCAAAAATCATCAGATTCTTGAGCGGAATAACTTAAACGATTTGTGGATCGATTCTCCATAAATCTGCATCAAAATCTGAGAACGCAATATTTTTTAGATTTTTTGTCAAATTTCCTGGATGGTCCCCTTCGAAAATCCTAATAAATGCATGGATCCACTATATGGCCCACAGCAATAGCTATATCTTTGCCAAAAATCATCAGATTCTTGAGCGGAATACCTTAAACGATTTGTGGATCGATTTTCCATAAATCTGCATCAAAATCTGAGAACACAATATTTTTTAGATTTCTTGTCCAATTTCCTGGAAAATCGAAAATCTCCAAAAATTCATCGATCCACTATATGGCCAACAGCAATAACTATATCTTTGCCAAAAATAATCCGATTCTTGAGCGGAATACCTTAAACGATTTGTGGATCGATTCTCCATAAATCTGCATCAAATTCTGAGAACCGATAGTAACATATATTTTTTTTTAGATTTTTGTCAACTGAGTGTCGCCCTCAGAATGTGGAAAATGCATGGGAAGGTTAATATGGCCCACTTTGAAGGCTATATCTTATTATTATCCGAATGTGTTCCAAATGTGAGAAATGAATGGGTAATATGGGTAATATGGGTAATATGGGTAATATGACTTTCCGCGAAATCTACTGATTATTCTATTCTATCTGAGATTATTCTATTCTTAAACGGAATACCTTAATTATCGCTTGACTAACTTCCCTTCCTGGAAGTTCCCTCGAAAACAAACTTCAACTCCTCGTATCCGTCACAGCTGGCCCCCAGCAACAAAAAAGCTTAATGAAGCGACCAAGCTAGGAACCAAGAAAAAAACACGTATTTTGGGGACTGGGGACCAAGAAGGTCGCAGTCTTTGGCAACTGTTGCCCAAAACGAGAGCCGAGCTCGTTGCGGGACCATTCACATAAGTGGGGGAGAGTTTCAGGAAAGAAAAAAAACATGCGAGGAAAGGAACCCACTGTGACCACAACGGGCAGAGACACACATGTGTCCAAGAGTTTTTTTTCTCTGGGATGGCACAAGCCAGAAATTGGAGCGACCATTGAATATGATAGAAATAGAAATACGTACGTGCAAAAATTTCAACGCTTGATTAAATTTCAGTCACAGTCGTGGAGGATGGTGGACGGGATTCGGAGGGACGGGGACCAACTGTGGGCCAACTTGAAAGACAATCAGGCAGCAATTTAAAACCATTTTCACTGTGGGCAGGGCCACCCACAAATCCCTGACAAGTCGGATGCCACCTGCTGTGCGGCAGTTGCAGTAACTTCTGCTTGATTAGTTTTGATTTGGTTATTTGGCATTAGCCCATGTGCCTAGCCTTTTTTAACATGCTCCTTGGGTCTCCCTCAGCTTCCCTTTGAATTCCTCTTTTTTTCTGTCTCTCTGGCCAATGGGATGAACTAATTCCCAGCCATTCGATGTCGCAGCTGGCTTTTGGTTTCGACCAATTTAAGGGGCGCCCAAAAACTACGGTGAAGGGTCTTCGATTCCTGAGACATGTGGCTCAAGTTTTAATATAAACTTGATCATTGTGGGCTACATGCCATGTGCGTCGCAAGTTGGGCCAAAACATTTCGATTAAGTGAGAAATGTACATGAGATAGTGTATAAATATCCATTTTCTGATTTCTGCGTATTTTTTGACCCAAAATATGTTGAGAACATAAAAATATAATTGCATGTTCCAATGTCGGCCATAGACATAAGTGGTACGTGTTTATAAATCTGTATTTGTTTCAGGGCTGTGACACTGACACACATGGCGTATACTTAATATCCGTTAGTAGCACGTTTCGATGCCGAAAAGTAAAGCTTCAAATTGCTTCAATTGCACCGCAGCCCCGCGAATGGTCAACAAACCATTAACCTGCCACCCTCCCAGAAAGTCAAATAGAAGTTAAACCCAACCGCGATTAAGACATTTAAGTACACGAAAACGGGTGAGTGGCTGGGGAGTGGGGGAGGTGAGTTTGCTTCTAGCACCTCTGTAATTTGACGAAATGGAAACGGGGGCGTGAGTCGGAATGAGTCCTGGGGGTAATCCTTGGGGGGGACAATAACAAAGCAAGGCCTTTGGCCGAGGACCTGCGATCGTTTGTCGCGCGTGCTGAAGTTTGCAGAATGCGGGAGGCACTACACTTCCGCTAAATGTCGCTATTATTTAACAATTTTGTTTATGTATGTATGCCCCGCTAGGCGGAATATAATTTATGGTTACTCTGATTCCCCCCAGGACCGGCGTCCGAGCCAAATTGTCGCCCTCGGCAGCGGCAGCTGGAAAAATATGAAAGAAAACAATTACACCCGACTTAACACTTCCGTTGCTTGTTACAAAAGCCGCACACGTCCACTGAGGTAGTACGTCCACACAGCTCAGTCACTCGCCCCACTCGCCTGGCCAAAACGGCATAGACAGGTAACATAGCTGCGTGGGCGACTGCGACGCACTTCCCTCCAAGCACTTGAAATTGTAATTTAACACGTACCATAAGTACGTTAGTGGGCATTTTTTCCTGCTAAGAAAAGTTTCTGGGGTTGCCCGGGGACTGGCCCGTTTAAACATTCTGGAGTGATATGCAAAGATTGTTACCCTGGGAAACGATTTTATGAGATTCTTCTTGAAGTAGTATTTAAATAAATAGATAATATAAAAATAAACACAAATCTTAACAGATTATATAAACTCAAGGTTTACCTAAAAGATCAAAAATACTCATAGTACACTAATAGTATAATGATTATACTATAATCATATTGATAACGTTAATATTTATAACTCACCCTTACCTTTAAGCTGATAGGTACCCCCATTTCCCCTAACTAAAATTTCAACACCTTTGCTTTGTAATTATATTAACATTTTATTCGTTTCCTTGCTTATTTAAATCATATTGAAATTTAGTTCACATGCACTAAATTCAAAGAAAACACAAAAAATTGGTATCCAAAAATAGTGTGATTTGTAAAGCACCTTAACGAAATCCTTTGTTCGTACGTAATCTGCATATGTGCGCTTAAAACTAAAAGATTACTCTGCTCTCGAATGATGTGTATAAAATTGGTTTCTCATCAATACCATTCATCATTCAACACATTCATCATACAGAGGCACTAAAGCTTATCAATCAGATTCTTTTGCGTTGAAAGAATCGACTCTCATTCAAAGTATTCGATTTGTGCTTAAGTACTTAAGTTCTAACAATATATTCCAGTGGGAGAAATAAATATTAATGGTACACCTGTTTTGGTTTAGAATATAATGGTGTGTCTCAATCCTTCGTTTCGATTAGAATCTTTTGATATGGACGTATTAAAAGTAAGAAATGTTGGATAAATAGGCGGGTTTGGTGCGAAAGTGTGATAAATAGTCATGGGATGAGTAATGCTCAAGATGTAATTCATATAGAAATGCACAAAGTTTGGCTCTTCAGATATTCAGATATTTTGATAAATTAATTTGAACCGAAGACAGACTTTTGGAGATATCTTTAAACTCTTTTTAAAAGCAGAAAAATGTTCATATTGCGATTTAATATTGCGATTTATTGCGATTCTCTGATAATATGCATAGTTTAATTGCGTGTATAGTTTTAGTCTTGGCTCCTTCAAGCTAACTACAACATAGATCTTAGACTTTGGAGATTCTACATAACTTAAATGTGTGTTTTAAGCTCAATTTTTAGTACGAAAGGACAAGGCAAATAGTCGGGTTAGTTTATTGTCATTTAGAGAATATTCTACGTAATATTGTACGTATCAAGTGATGAAAAATGAATATAAAAAAATGCTGAAAGAGAATCTCATTTATGAATTTATATTTCAGACTTTGAGGAACCAGACTTTTGAGAAAAAAGTGGTATTATTCGAGCGGCGTATAAGAGATATGAGATTGCACAAAATATAACTTTAAGGAAGTATTTGCCTTATCAAAAAAATAAACAAAAATGTGAAAAAGAAACAAATCCTCATCACAATAAATCCGTTCGATTAAACTTTTAACGATTTTTAAAAAGCAATCGTTAATAAACAAAAAAAGCTGACTTGTGCACAATTTGCATATTTGTGGCTCTCGAACCTTTCTGTTATCAGTATCAGTAACACTCTAAAGTAAACCTGAAGCTCTATGTCTAGGCAAAGCTTGGACGTAACTGGGTGGCTTCTTATAAGGACTCTGAATCCCCTTCATTTGGGAGTTTCCGGAGGAGCATTGGCCATTCCAAACAATTCCTCATAGGAGGGAGCTGAAATGAAATAAAAGAAATAGATTAAATAAATCCTTTTTATGAAATAATTGAATCCTTACGAAGCTCATGCGCTCCTGGAGGCTGACGGGACTGCAGAAGCGAAGACGATCCTGAGGTGGATGGCAGCTGACTGTATGCTGGGACCCCTGATCCTGCTCCGGCTGTAGCAGGAGATGGTGCTGCATTTGGTGGCGGTGTCAGGGCAAGGAGAGAGTACTGGGGCGACTCTGGCAGGGGATAGGCGGGCAGGTGAGGAGGTGGATATGACTGCACCATCAGGGGGCTGGACGAGTAGGGCATGTAGGGCACGTTGGAGCTGCGCAGACTGGTCCTGGCCGAAGGACTGCCGTACTGCGATGACTGCGAGCCGGAAGTGTAGGATACCTCGACACCACCCACGCCACCGCCCACGGCCGGACTCAAAGTGGCCGCCGAGGAGTCGGAGGTGATGGAGTTGATGCTGCTGCATTCACTAAACTGCGAAGAATGCGACGGCGAGCCTATCGAAGAGTCCAGCGACGGGTAAACGGGGAGCGTGGGCTCGAAGGGATTGCCAGTGCCCACATCGGGACCGGGAGGCCCATCATTTGGGCGCGGTGGTGGCGGTGGACGCACGGCTGACTCTCGATTGGAGGTGTCCTGTGAGTACACCTTAAAGGGAAGATTTAGCACCAGATTTTTAAAGAATCCTCGCAGCACAGCCTCCACACGCAGCTCATACACGATGGTGATAACTCCACTCATTTGATCATCCGTGGGCTGGGTTCCCTCGGGCAGGAGCAGCTCATGAGCGAAACTGCGCTCGCTTTTCTTCTGCACCGAGCCGGTTTCCTTGTTGGCCACAGAAATGCACTCCACCTTCTGCACACGGAGCGGCACGTGACTATAATAGGTGACATACTGGAGTACAGTGAATCGCAACTTCTCCACGGCCGTGGTGCTGTTGTTTATCACGGTGGCACAGATTCTTAGGGGCTCGCCTCGGACAGCAAAGTCCTCTGGCAAAAGGGCCAGCAGGCTTATGGGTCGGGTGCCAAACAAGCTGATCGTCTTGGTCACCTGCTTCTCCAGAGGACTGGGCACGCTGCGGTGCGATGCTCGCAACGGCATGTACTTCACCACCGTAAACGGAATTGTGTGCCGTTCGTCGAAGGTCCACGGCCGCTGGATGAGTACCCGCATCTTGTACTTGATCCCGCCGTAACTGCCCTTGAAGCTCGAGGGCAGTTGCCTGCCAAGCGCCACCTCGAAGATGAAGGTGTGCTCCCCGGGCGAGAGCTCCAGGCCTCTAGGCTCGAAGTCCGGCAGAGCCGTCTCACTGTGCTCATACACCTCTTTGCTGGTGTAGAACAGACTGCGCGAGTATTCATTGTTGTTGGAGTTCTTCCGGAGGATCTCGATCCACTTGCACTTTCCCTTGCCGGTCACCTGGACTTTAATTGCTAAAATATACGAAAAAATAATTTTATTTAATATTATAATTTTACAAATACTTAAATTTCTGTAATATTTGTGTAATATGTATTAAATGTTCTTTTTATAATTAACTAAACCAACTTAAATACAAAATTTTAAATATTTTAACTATCAATAAATGGTTCTTGTCTTGACTATTTTTGACATGTACTTATACATGGGGGAAAAAACAAATACATGCAACGGTCACATCCTTTTAGCGTGGTCGGGTGGCAACGCCAGACGCAAATTTCCGGCAACATTATCGGAGCAACACGACTTGGCCGAAAATATTTAATATTTTTTGCTAAAAAATTACAATATTGATTAAAATATTGTGAAAAACAAGGAAAAGGCAGAGCTATCGTTGGTCAAAGTTCACAACACAATAATAATAAGTGGCACCCTCTTTAAAAGGTTGAAGTTTTCTTATCGTCTTCCTTTTCCAATCGGCTCCCGAAAAAAAAGGAAAAAATATACAAATGTTCTAGGAAGTAGAAACGAAAGAGTTCAAAATGAACTTTGAGTATATTGGCCACGCCTTGGGCTACCATGGGCAGCCAATGCAAAAGATTTGGGATGACGAAAGGGGCGTGGACGACTTGCGGCTGATGGGACTCACCCAGGTGAACTACAGCGTCTACCTGGAGCGCCAGAAGTACTTGACCTTCCAAGAGCGGGCCAAGCGCCTCAAGATGCACCAGTTCCTGGCCAGAAAGGCTACCGATCTCTATGATCGCAGCCTGGTGGCCAATACTATGGAGGATAAAGTTCTGGCCCAAGGTAGGATTAAGTAACCATCCAAAAAGTAGGACAAGAATGAACCTAAAGAACATAATTTTTCTAGGCAAGAGTAGTATGGTAGTTCAGCCACCCTACGAGTTCTTCCTGTCGCCGAAAGATAGACACAAGGCTTGGACGCAACGCCTGGAATCTCTGAAGCAGGGTGACATCATATACGCCTCGGTGATAAAGGTGACCTCTACAGTTCGGCTCATGGTAAAGCCGCTGTGCACTGCTGAGCCCGTTTGTTCCTACTTGGCTGACATACCCATAAAAGTAAGTACTAAAATCTTACCAAGTACTAAGTACTAAATCATGTATTTCTTGCAGGCCCTAATCATTCAGGACTACTGGGGACCTCTGCCACTGGACAAGCAGGGTAATCCGCGCCCCTTCACAGTCAACGACATTCTGCGCTGCGAAGTTTGCAACATCTCCGCGGAAACGGAGCGAGTTACTCTCAACATGATCGGAATGTACAACAAGTCACCGGACTTGAAGTTGGGGCTCTGCAGTATTGAGGACTTGCCAAAATACTACAAGTAATGGTGGAATTGGAAACAAAAGGCACCACAAAACCTAATCATTTCAAATCTTGCAGGAAAATACACAATTCTGAGCATCCATCAGCGGTGCACTATGAGGATCGACTCACCGCCGCTCTGGAGTTCCAGAACCCCAACTGCGACGCCCTCTTCCAAATGAACGGTCTGCAACCGAATGAGAACCTCACCCTAATGAGCCACTTGAAAGCCGGCTTTCCAGATGCAGAATACGCCACGGAACTGCGACAGAAACAGGCCTCCCAATGGGCATTCCGGTAAGTAAAGACTTAGTATTATAGTTTGAGTTATTCTACAGTAGAGATTGTGTGTGCCAATCATATCATCACAAATCACTCATCCATTGCACCGATCCCACCTTTTCCGACTTATCAGCTCCGTGGCTGATGGCATTGAGCACTTTAAGAACGGCCAGCAGGTCGAGGCCTTTCAGTGCCTGAACAAGGCCCTGACCATTGATCCGCGCAATGTTGAAGGCCTTGTGGCGCGTGGGGCTCTGTACGCCAACCGCGGCAGCTTCCTCAAGGGGCTGCAGGACTTCGAGAAGGCGCTCCACCTTAACAAGTATCATGTGAATGCGCGCAAATACATGGGCGAGACGCTGGTTGCCCTGGGTCGCAGCTACGAGGAGGAGAACCGCATCCCCGATGCGGTGAAAGCCTACACCGACTGCCTCAACTTGCTGCCGCAGCATGAGGAGGCGCGTCAGTCTCTGGATCTACTGCAGCGCCCCCAGTTCCCAGGGCCGAGCGGTAGTGGCGTTGTAAGTGGGGACGGTAAGCCTAGACTAAGTACCGCGCCTGGCGGACACTCTTCAGACGAGTCCAGTTCCTCGAGTGGCAGTGAAAGTGAAACCGAAGATCAGAGTAAGTTCCAAGGCGTGGCAGGTGTTCCCAACTCTATCCTATTTCCCATTTTAGCAACCAAAGGAAAGGTTAACTTTAATAAACCCTTCTATGCCCAGTCCCAGGCGAAGGGTGGGGACAAGCTGGCGGTTATTGATGCCCAGAAGGCCAACGAGTTCCGACTGGACGATGACGAGACCGTGTCCAGTGTTCGCAAGCTGCTCCGCGAGGCCAGCAAGCACAAGAAGGCAAAGAAAAAGGGGAAGAAGAAAAAGGACAAGAAGGAGAAGGAGAAGAAGCCCAAGACAAAGACCAAGGAGGAGGATCCCCTGGAAACGCTCAAGAAGCTTGACTTTAACGAGGCCTACAGGTAAAGTGCCATTGAAACATCTTTTAAAATGTTTAAATATATGAATTCTATTGCGATTTCTCTGCTTAAACCATTTGATAGACAAAGCAAGTATGTACCAAGAATATTATTAAAGTTTTAAGCTGTAATTACACCACTTAAAAATAAATATTAAGAAATTCCAGCTCTCATTAGCGGTGTAACTGCAGTTTAAAGTTCCAGACTACATTTTTTTACCCGCAACTTCTTTTTAGGCTCATGAGCAGCGCCGGAAATGAGGCAGAACTGAAGGCCAAACTGAAGAACTACTTGCAACAACAAGGTGGCGGTGGCGGTGGCGTTGCCGGTGACCGTGATTCCCCTCCGCCTGCCCCACCGTCTCTCAAAAAGACAACCGCTTTTGAAAAGCGAGCCAACTTTGACGACATGGGACCCAGCACTTCCCGCCATGCGGTGGCCAATTCCGTATTGAACAACGAGGAACCACCTCCGCCACCAAAGTTCCAGGAGGTACGGAAGCCCCCGCAACCGGCAACCAAACTTTCGTTCCAAATCAAGAAGCGTCCGTTGCAAATGGATAAGTTTGGACTGATTCGTCTCGCTGCCCCGCCTGAGGGAATGCCAACAAGTCGGAGCGGCAGTTCCCGCAGTCGTACCAGGAGTCGCAGCCGCAGCCGGAGTCGTTCGCGCCATCATCGGCGTCGTCGTGATTCACGGCGTCGCAGCTCTTCGCCGAAGCGTAGAAACCGTCATCGGTCACCATCCAGGTCCCGCACTCGCTCCCGATCGAGATTCCGCTCTCGGTCAAGGTCTCGCAGAAATCGCAGCATCTCGAGGTCGCGATCGCGCAGCCGCTCCCGTTCTCCTCCTCCAAAACGCTATGGGAGGGGCCGATTTGTTAATCGCCGGTCACGCTCTAGATCACCACATCGTTGGAATGCTCGGTCACCGTTTGTGAAACGGCGCACTCCCTCGCCTTTCGATCCCAACCGTTCGCCCTCGCACTCACCCGCGTCCCGACATCGTCGCCACCGTTCCCCATCCCGATCTCGTTCGCGTTCTAGGAACCGCTCGCGCAGCTACAGTCCGTACCGCTATTCGGGACGCTTTCAACATTGGGGTCGGGGTCGAGGTCGTGGTCGTGGTCGCGGGCGATTCAACAACCGAAATGCTTGGTATAACCGGGATGCTCGCTCAGGCTCGGACTCGGATCCAAATGGTAGGGACAGAAAGAGGAGTTCATCGCCGGAAAAACAATCCCCACCGCAGAGTTCGGACAGACGAACTGCTAGTGCAGGTGGTGATGAGAAAACTGAACTGATCAAGGATACCGCCAGCAAGGATTAGGGCCATAGGAGCTGCCCATAAACATAAACATTAACTTAGATGTATAGGGTTCCTTTCAGGTGTAAGAATTACCTTAATACTTAATTTTGACATTTACGATTTGCGAAATTTGTGAAAACAATACCAATATCGATGTTCAGAAACCAACTAATAAAGAAGCTTTCGAAGCAAACTTTTGGCATTAAATGATAATCCTTAAAAAAAGTGTTTTATTTCGGTTCCTTTGAAACTTTTAGGTAATTCGTTACTCAAATGGCAAGTTTATTTTGAAGTTTACTCACAATTTTTTAAAAATAACTGGTAAGTTGATAATACTTTTACACCTATTATCTATTACACTTTAAGTTTAAATTTAAAAGTTTAAAATTTAAATTTAAAAATATATTTTATTTCAGTTTTTTCTTCATTTAGTTTAGAAATAGTACGATAATGGAATACCCTAGCCAAGGACTGGGTAAGTAATGATTGTGTCAGTAAGACAGATATTAAGGGGCTATACTCAGTTGCACCCAAAAAAAATCAGCTTTTTTTTAAGATTTTTACGAAGAGAACTTAAGATGTTTCAAGACAATTACTTACTTTAATAATTTAATTATTACCTTAAGAAGAAGCTTTTAAAAGAAAATAGCATGAAGATTATAAAAAAACATTTCCAATTTGACTTCTGTAGCTTTTGTAAAAAAAGCCTTCGAAAAAACAATGGAGCTTTGCAGTGATCTCGTTTTAGTCGGCTTAGAATATCCCAATTCGAATAAATTTATTGATTCTTTTATTCTTTACGTACATCAATGTACGTAATTAACGAAGAATTTAAAAAAAATCCCATTTTTGGCAAAAAAGCTTAACTTTAAATTAAAAATTCCTTTTTTTGCTGAAATGTTTCCATTAAATTGAAGAAAAAAATAGTAATAAAATTTACAAAATAAATTCCTACCTGCAGAATATATCCAAGAAGATTGTGTATACATTTTAGACCAATCATTTTATTCATTTTTGAGAAATCGATATCACCGACTTTACAAACACTGTATATCTATATAACACTATACATACAGTGTTCTGAAAATATTTATCGGATGGAGTTCAAATTGTGAAAGGACATAAACATTCATATATGAAGATAAAAAATGTTTTTGAAAATCCAAACTGAGTATAACCCCTTAACGCAAAATGATTACAAAAATAAAATAATTTTAATGGAAACAAGCGATTAAAAATAAGAAGATAAGTATTCGCCAAACTACTCGATTTTTTTTCAGTTTTTAGTTGAAAATGAAAGATTTATGTAAAATATCTTTTAGCCCATGGAATACCGGCCCATACCGAAGTCCAAAGTCGGTGCAGTTGAGACCCCCTGTTCGTGTTGCACCCACTCACACACACACCCAAACACGAGAAAGGGGAGCCGCGGAGAGCACCCAAAGGAGAGCTGAGAGCGCAGAGAAAACCCCACAGCAGTTGGCCAAGTATTTGAGATGGCAGAGCGAGGACGAAATTGAGAAAACGAAACGAACACCGGCTGTCAGTTTTTGAAATTGTTGGAGAGGAGAGGAGAGTAGAGCTAGAGCTCTGGCATGGAGAGCCAAGCACAGACCAGATAAAGACTTGTTTCATTTGATATTCGCGGCACTACCAAATCAAATACGCTGGAGTTTACGGGGGAACCGGCAGCGTAGATGTGACGCCGATTTAGCATTATTAGCTGGCAGTTATCGCACAATTAGTACGCGGGCGAGAATTAAAATTGAGAAGTCAGGCCAGGCACCTGTGATACGTTTTATTCCCAAATCGGTTCGGTAATCGGAAGTGTCGGACAACAATAGTTTGGTGTAAGTGTGAGAAAAAATCGTCTTTAACAGCTGCTACTTTACATAACGAAATGCTAATGCTAAGTGAAAGAATGCAAGTGCAAGAATGCAGAATTGCACACCCCAAAAATATAATAAAAAGACACGCGCGACTTTTAACCTATTCCATAATTTTCCACTTGGACTTTGAACGATAAGCACGACAACAACTGGTAGTGCGGAGACAAAGAACATACATAGGACCAACAAGCCACGCTTGCCTCTCTTTCCAATGTTTACTACCAGTTGTTGTTGTTGTCTGCTCTCTGGCCAGTGCGGTGTGCGCTACACTTGTTGCCATGCGGCTTATTGGCACGCATATGGCGACTGCCGCCTTATGATTTACGGTTTTATCTCGAACCCGGGTGATAGCCAACAGTTGACAAGTGTTTTATTATAATAACAATAAATTGATAGTGTTCTTGTGCCAAACTCAATGGAATCTGCTCAGTCTTGTGATTCAGTCTTCATAAAAGCCAGAAAGAAAATCAAACTTCGGGCTAAGCCGAAGATCATACACTCTTGCAGTTGCTTCATACTGAAAAATATATGGACTTTATAGACCCACATTTATACAAAGGGTATACAAAATAACAAGAACTATTTGACCTTCATCAGTGGGTATTGTATTATTAAAGCACCTGGCAATCTAATCAAACCCTGGCAATAGATTGTGAAAAGCGGTCAACAACTTTATTCTATGTAGTCCTATTTTTGGTTTTAGTGGTTTTAGCCAATCAGTTATTAACCTCAGCGTCACTTCCGCATCTTGTAACCTTTCTTTAAAACTTTCTATATTGCAGCCCAAAAATATTAGAGGGAGAGGAACAAAACCATGTATTCAAAAATCTTTCGCACTGTGATAATCGGAGCTCCAGGCTCCGGAAAAGGCACCATTTCCGAACTTATCGTGCAGACCTTTGGATTCCTGCACATTTCGTCTGGGGACATTCTTCGCCAGAACATCCTGAACAACACCGACCTGGGCAAGAAAGCGCGGCAGTACATCAGTTCTGGAAGACTAGTGCCGGATGATATTCTGAACAAAACAATGCTTGGTCGCATCACAGAAGTGGGAAACAAGTCCTACATCCTGGATGGTTTTCCACGAAACAAAGCGCAGGCCCAAGTGCTGGCGGGCAGTGAGCAAATTGATGCCGTCATCAATCTCGTAGTTCCCCACGATGTAATCATTGATCGAGTCAAGAACCGATGGATTCACCAGGCCTCAGGAAGGGTCTACAACATTGGCTTCAACGATCCCCAGGTGCCTGGAGTAGATGATGAGACAGGCGAACCGTTGGTGCAACGCGAAGATGATAAGCCCGAGGTGGTGAAAAAACGGCTGATGCTGTACGACGAAATAATGCTTCCAGTTTTGGATTATTACAAAGAACGGGGTTTAGTCAGCACGTTTAGGGGTTCCAAAAGCAAGGAGATCTGGCCGCGAGTAGAGCTCTTTCTCAGAGAAAAGATCCATAAGTGCCGTTGATCCATATGTGATCCAATGCCCGTACTGACATTGAATTCCACCTATTGGGCACAAAATACCAATAAGTAACGATTTCAAAAACAAGTCTAGAGGTATAAGAAATAAAAAATTATTTTTTAATGCTTTTCAGGATAATCATGGAACTTTCATAGAAAATTTAAACAATAAAGCAAACCCCCATTGAAAGCCAACCTACAATTGTTGCATTTTCTATGAGAAGCTATGGCTATCTTGAAAATATTACGTCATGTGTTTAATTAAGTGCATAGTTTTTCTATAAATGTGTGTATATGTACGTTGTACATATGGCTAAGAGTCAGATGGACGCAAACAAAATAATTGAATTTGAGAAGCCTTACATTGCGAAATCGAAATTGAACCATTTAGCCAACAGATACTTTCTTACTATAGTCTCCGCAGCTGTTTTTTTATGAACATATTTTTGTAATTGTAGTACGTGCTCTGATAATAAAGTGTTTGTTATATTTGGCGCTGATAACAACCGTCTTTCAGTTTGCGGATAGCTATGCATCTATTTTTAGCGCCTAAGGCGAGCACTCTACTCTGTGCGTGGACTTGACATTTATGGCTTCACCTGATGACACACAAATGCCCTTCTACTTGGGAGTAGCGCATAAGAACCCGAAAGATACGGGATAGGCAATCACAACAGAGAGGTTGAACCTTTACAGTAAAGGTCTCTAAAGTGTGTCAGGTATAAAAAGTAGCTTAAAAAGGTCAATTAAATTATAAAGTAAATCAAAAAAGTTTGTTAAAAAAAAGATTGTATGATTACATTTGTAAGAATGATTATTTGAATATATTTTTATTTTTATTAGCAATGTTTAAGCTAGTTGTTTTATATGAAAAATCGGCGTTGAATAGTTTAATTAAGGGTTTTAAAGTTTTTAATTAAAACATTTTTAGTGCTACTTTGCTGATGACTGGATGTTTTTTCAAAAACACCTTTTTAAAAGTAACCTTTATTTTGTCCATTATTGTGCTGAGAGTGACTCTCTTACCGCTCTCAGACCTGACTTGTCGCTTGGGCCAAATTACGGCATTTTCGGCATTGGAGCAGAAACGCTTGCGCCTCTCTTCGCACGGCCCCCCTTCCATTCAATCGCACTCTGGGAAATGCGCCTGCCATTTCCTGAAACAAATGCCAGAGCACCAAGAGGCGAACCAAGAAGGAAAGTAGATGCAATTGAATTCTTATCGATGAATGAAAGGCGGGTGCAAAAGGCAATTGGAGGAATTCGCCAGGGCCGAAACAATCACAGCATCTGTGGGGGTAGGGGGAGGTTGGGTCATAAAATGGCTGCTTGGCTTTGCTTTGCTTTGTGGAGTTCTTTGTTTATGCGAATGGGGCCGCAACGAGAGTCCAGGGGGCTAGCGGGCAAACAATGGACACGACATCGAAACCACAACTTGCTGACTGTGCGGGAGTTTGAGTCATGGATGATGCAAGCCGGGCTTACGGGGAAATAGTGTTTCAGGGAACTTCCGGTATCCATCCAGAGGTATGCTTGACCTTTACTTACCGCGTATTTTGGTGCGCTTGCTAAGATTCATCCAGATTTCGCCTCGAATTATGTCGCCGGCGAAATAGACGCGATCCGAACTGTCCAGCGTGATACGCAACCGCTCGCTTTCCATTCTGCCAATAGTGCCAATGATGAAGATGCCCCCTCTCTCATCAAACGCTTATCCAAAAATAATTTCGTCATCAAAATGCCGCAACATACAAAACGATGCACTACCGACTTGTATGCAGAATAATAGTACTACACCACACCACACACACACACCCACCCAATTATAACCAGGCCGATTTACTACACACCGCGAGCTTTTTTTTCCTTTTGGGTATAACGTGAGTAGTCAGTCCACTTCTTCGGCAAATTGTAAAACTTCACATGCAAGTTGACACCAGCACTCACAAGTGTTTTGCTTTACGAACCCTGTCGCACACTTTGGGTAATTTAATTCGATTGGCTCGGTTCGGGCGGGTTGAATAATTAAATTTCTTATAAATTTAGGAGATCCGAGCGTTCTGATGTTGTTGTAGTTGCTCTCTCAGCTGTTTTCCGATAGGCGAGAGAGCGCTTTTTCGATAACTAAAAGAAGATTGTGGGACGACGATGCCTGCAATAAATCTCAATTGTTTTTGTTTCAATAAAATATCAATTTTACTCAGCATAAGACTAATATTTACCATTTACCTCAATTTTACTTTTTTTGACTAAAACTTAGGTCAGGCAAAAAACCTTTCTATTTGTGGGTTTCACGTATAATATCAGGAAATTATAATTTTTTAATATAAAATGAATCTGTTAACCTGATTTAACATTAAGTAATACATTTTATCCATACATTTTTGAAAAAAAATATACTTTAAAAAAGAAGAAAACAAAAGTTTTCAAAAAAGGCTAGATATGGCATCCCTGTTCAGGTGTTAAAAAACACAAGACGATAAAAATTTAATTTGGTCATACTAACTGTGCAACCGATAACTGATAACCGATAAAGACGAGGTAGAAGAAGCAGAAGGTAAACAAACATGGTAAGTCGCTAAATATTGTATTTATTATGAATAAAATCTATAATATTTGTACCATTTCAGGCAAGAAATGCAGAAAAGGCAATGTGAGTATGCATATTGACACAACAAACTTAATGGTTTCTTAAACTGCCACTTTATTCGCTGTAGGACAACCTTGGCACGTTGGCGGGCCGCCAAGGAAGTCGAGTCCGGCGAAAAGGAACGCCGGCCGTATTTGGCCTCGGAGTGCCACGACCTGCCCCGATGTGAAAAGTTCCGCCTGGAGATTATCAGGGAGATATCCAAGAAAGTGGCTCAGATACAAAATGGTACTTATAATATACAAGAGTTGTAGGTTCCATTTCTAATCTTCTATTATTTATCTTCTCTCAGCCGGCTTGGGGGAATTCCGCATTCGTGATCTCAATGATGAAATCAACAAGCTACTTAGAGAAAAGCGCCATTGGGAGAACCAGATTTCCTCACTTGGCGGCCCACATTACAGAAGATATGGTCCCAAGATGTTCGATGCGGAGGGACGCGAAGTTCCTGGAAATAGGGGTTACAAGTACTTTGGAGCTGCAAAGGACTTACCGGGCGTTCGCGAGCTCTTTGAACAGGATCCACCTCCGCCACCCAGAAAATCCCGCGCCGAACTCATGAAGGATTTCGATGCTGCGTACTATGGCTATCGAGATGACGAAGACGGTGTTCTGATTCCTCTTGAAGAACGAATTGAACGAGCTGCCATACAGAAAGCTGTGCAAGAGTGGCGCGAAAAAATGGCCAGAGATGGCCGCATCATCGATGACGACGAGGAGGAGGACGAAATATATCCGCTGTCAGGACCTGCTCGTGAAGCTGCCGAAGATGCCAAAGCCAGGGCAGCCGTGGAGGATCCACATGGCTTGTTGGCACCCAAATTTACGGCCCATGTGCCGGTTCCGACGCAACAGGATGTCCAGGAGGCCTTGCTGCGCAAACGAAAACAAGAACTGCTCGAGAAATATGCGGGAGGAGCTAATTAATTTAAATAAACGTTCCATCTTTTGATTTTTAATTTAAGGTGTGTGCTGCTTTTATTATACCCGGTACTTGTAGAGTACAAGGGCCGTTTGTTGGGTATATTGTAGTCGTGTGAATGTATGTAACAACGAGAAGGAATCATCTCCGACCCCATAAAGTATATATATTCTTAAACAGCCGAGTCGATAAACACATGTCCGTATGGACGCATGGATCTCAGAGACTATAAGAGATAGAGCTATAGTATTTGGCATGGAGACTCCTATAATAGCCAGGCAGTTCAGGCATTTTGCCATGCCCCCTCCCGCCCCAAAAAATCGCGAAATTTCTGTAGCGTCGGTACAGGAAGGTTTTTAAAAAACGTTTTGGTGCCAAGCTATTTCTATAGTTAATATATCCAATGAAGATATACACATATACACAGATCAAGTTTGTGTCAAACGCCCACTCCCTCACCCAAAACAGAAATCTTATGTTATACAGTTCGGTAATGTTTTTGGAAAATGTTTTAATGGCAAACTGTTCCAATGGCTACCATACCATACCATACACCTACAAATCAGCCAAATCGGATAATTTTTAGAGGAGTTATAGACTTTTTAGTCTGCTTCCCAACTGGATCGGTAAAGTAATCCAGAAAACATAAACCATGAATAATTATGAATGTGTTAGGCAATATCCGGATAATCCTCAATAAGTTGTTCCGCAGGATTGTTTTTGTTGTTTACTGTTTAAGTTTAAACTTTAAGATTTATTAAATTGTGGGTGGAAGAGATGAGTACCGGGTATAATATAGTCGGGAAACTCGACTATAGCAGTCCTTTTGGGAACGTGATTTTATTTCAAAACTAAATCTCTTCCAGTAATCACTTCTAATAAAACAAAATTATTATTTATTCGATTCAAGTAACCTGAGAGTATTCGTTCTTAAAATATGATACAGACCTTTTTTTTTTTTTTTAAACGACACTTCAACTCAAAACTCGAAAAATTATGTGTTAGTTGAAAATTATTTTTTGTGGGTATCCTACCCCATTGTTTCTTAAACAATTACAAGGCACTTCAATGTGCTGAAGTCGCTTACACTAGAAAAATGGCAAAAAATGTGTTGGTATTAAATTAGTGCTGGAAACGGCCAAAGTCGCGTCCGCCTCCTCCTCTGTTTCCTCCAAAGCGACCTCCGCCAGAACGACCGCCTCCCCCGCCGGAACGACCGCCGCCACCTCCTCCGAAGGCCTGTCCCTCGGCAGCTCGTCGGTCCTTCATGGCCTGGAAGCGCTTAGCCATATTGTGAAGCTCTTCAGGAACCTCTTGCTCTGCCTCCGTCAGGATATCGATGAGTTCCTTGGCCATACCCCAGTCTTCGCGGGTAATAAAGCTAATGGAGGTACCTTTGCGTCCGGCGCGTCCAGTTCGGCCCACACGATGCACATACTCCTCAATATTACGCGGAAAGTCATAGTTAATGACGTGCCTAAAAGGTTAAAAAAAAAAATTATATATAAAATTATATAAAAACTTCAAAATATTCCCATGCAGGCTTACGAGATGTCCTCAATGTCCAAGCCTCGCGAAGCCACATCGGTGGCAACGAGAATGCGCACAACACCAGACTTAATGTCGGCAATGGCTTGCTCACGATCGCTCTGGTCCCGGTTTCCATGAATGCACTGGGTGTTAAAGCCATCCAATGTCAGATCACTGGACAAGTCGTCGGCACGAGCCTTCCGCCCGCAGAATATGATTATTTTGTCCGTTTTAGTCATATTCTGCACGAAGGACTTGATGGTGCGGAACTTCTCAGCGTCGTCCTCGAGATGTTGAATTATTTGCTTCACCGAATGAGTGGCCGCCAAGTCCAGAGAACCCACACACACCTGGATCGGGTTCTTCATGTAGCTCTGGGCAAGCCGACGCACACCAGGTGGCCATGTTGCCGAGGTCATGATTGTCTGCCGATCCGGACGGATGTCCAGCAGTACCTTTCGGATCTGGGGCTCAAAGCCCATATCCAGCATACGATCGGCTTCGTCCAGCACCAAGTACGTGATGCTGCTAACATCGATCACATTCGCCTGCACCAGGTCATTCAGCCGTCCCGGAGTGCAGATGATGATCTCTGCGCCGCGTTCCACGTCCGAGATTTGCATGCGGCGATCGCCTCCACCATAAACACACACACTGAAAAAAGAAATAAAAATTTTAATATTTAAAAATATAATATGTCTCTGCAACTTACGCTTTCATGTTACGGAACGTGTATTTCTTGACCTCCATTTCGATCTGTAGGGCCAGCTCTCGAGTAGGCGCCAGGATAAGGACGTTAGGGCCACCCCTCTTGCCCCTTGGAATACTTTGATACTCCGTGTGTATCATTCCGGGTAGCAGGAAAGCCAAAGTCTTGCCAGTACCCGTTTGGGCTATCCCAATCATATCGTGACCTTTTAGGAGAATGGGCCACGCTTGGGACTGAATGGGCGATGGTTTGGAGAAACCCTGTTTCATGACCTCGCCCAGTAGGTCCGGGTACTTTGCGAAGCATTGCTCAAACTTCCAAACTGGATTGGGAATAGGAGGCAAAGTTTCCCCCTCTTTTGCCACAAAAACATGCGACACCGTAGTCCCGTTGTTCTCCTTCCGTATCTTTTCAGCCTCGGATGCGCTTAAATCAGCCACTTCGGGTGATTCCTCGTAAAAGTCCTTTGTTAGAGGAGGACACTTTGCCCAACGAGCTGCAGCAGCTTTTTCCTAAAAATTTAGTTTAAAATGTAATACTTAGTCAGGTATAAGGATCTTTCAATTACCGAAGCTTTGTTCAGAGCATCCCAGTCAATGGTGCCCGTAAGATCACCCGATTGGGGTGTTTCCGCCGTGGGTGGAGGTGCAAAATCATAATTGCTTCCACCATAGGGGCGTCTAGACCCGCCATCATCAGGATCCCGATCACGACCTTTTCCGGAATCGGAGACTTGTTTTCGTACAGCATTCATTGCATCGCTAACGTTCCTCTGGATACTTCCGTAGATTTTAACCATTTGGTCGCCCCTGTCCACCTTGACACGGACATTGAAATCATTCTGTAGGCGTTTGATGTTCTCGCCGGCCCTTCCGATAACCTTTCCAATCATTTCGGCGGCAATAGAGAGCGTCTCACTGAAGTCGCTTAACTCGAAGCTGCCACGACGTGCCCCACGTCCGCCGTAATCATCACGACTGCCCTTTCCGTAGGAATTGTCCCGGTTATTACGTTTTTCGCTCCCGTAGTCATCTCTCCTTCCTCCATCTTGATATCTACGCGGCTCAGCGTCACGACGCACGCTTCTCTCGTACTTCTCATTCATCGCAGCATGATCTCGGGGCTTTACGGGACCTTCAACATAGTTTGGATCGTCCCAATCGAGGTCGGACATATCAGACTCAAAGCTGCGCTTTATTTTGAAGAAATTTGTTAAAAAAAACAAGACGCACGTGGAAAATGCTGAGTTTGCAACTCCTCCGAGATTCAAACGGTAAAACGAGCGAGAAGAAAAAAAAACGCTGACAAAGTAAAAGAAATATGAAACTTTTTGTTTAGATTCTAAAGTTTAGATCATGTTTTTCTTAATGATACTTATTCACTGTAATTCATTAAGAAAAGAATTAATATTTACTCACACAGCTTTAAAACAACTTATTTCCTCAACAAATAGGAGCTTTGCGAAAAATTAAATGACCGTTTTGATGGACGCCGTTTGAACAGGGTTGTCAGTCCCTTAAAATTGATCGAAGCTTGCCAATTCTTCAGGGTCTAATCAAAATAATTTTAAACATAAAAAAACAAGAAATTTAAGCTTTTCAAAATAATTAAAATGTACATGTAGCCTAATACTTACTGATTTTGCACAAAAGTTTAATTAACGCATTTATTCGATAAATAACGATATTTTGCGTAGCCCTGGTCAGTGTTGTTAAGTCGACAAACCCAAAAGCTTTTGCAGCACTATCTTTGTTTTGAGCGGTTCTGTTCAAAAGTTGAAAGAAAAAGACCATCAGGTTTAGTTACTTTTCAAAATTTCCATTTACTTAACACAATGGTTACACTTTATGGATGTGTAGCTTAGTCTAGTTGCTTACAGCCTAATACATGTGAATTAAATAGCATTCATGACCAACTCACGCGCTCGCTTCATATAAATAACTAAAACTAGAAAACACAAACACAAACTCTTTCCTTATTTCCAAAAGATACTAAATTAAATGTGTGGGTGGCTAAAGCGGTTTGATAAAACTTAGAACAGTTTTGATAAGATCTTTGCAGTGTATATGGCGGATTTGTTTCTCATAATTGTTGAAACCATAGGGAGTTGGAGAGGTTGGTGGTGTGTGGTGTGTGGCAAGTCAGCAGAAATTGTTGCAGTGCATTTCGGATTTTCATTGTTCTATTTAAAGTTTAATATATAGTTTATGTGTGTATAGATATAGTTAAGAATCACTTATGGCTAGGTTTATGCTAAATTATAATATACGAGGTTATCTTTCATTTTGCAACAAACTGTTGATGGGTTGCATGTTTTGGATTAATTCTTCAGGGGAGAAATACATTACAAAAGCTCTTAGGCTGCCCTTAGCATTCCTCATTCCTTGTTTTTGTTTTTAGGTACGTTTGTATGTACAATATACACAGAGGTGGATATCATCACCTTGCTTATATAGGAAGTTTTATCAGCCATTTTTACGACTTACATTTGGTAATGATAAAATGTAATTTGTTTTTTCCTAAAAAACTAAACAATTCCTCAAAATAGTTTTTAGTTTTTTTTGGTAAAAAAAAGTACAATTTACAATCATAATGAAACCACCTTGGGGCCGTATCTTTTCTTTCTATTCACAGCTGCTTTGCGGCGGCTCTGGCTCTTTCTATCTCAGTCCCGCGACAGGTGATTGCTCCTGTCCGCCGGCGCCTTCTCGCCAGTGGGGGTGGATGGGATTGCGATGCAGGAGATGGACTTGGGGAGGGGCGAGGCGGGGCAGTAGTTGGACGCCAGGTCCAACCTCAGCTTGGCCGGTGAGTTGCGCTTAAACACCGCCAGCTGCCGTGTGGGCGAGAGCAGCGACGAGGATGATAGCTTGCTAGTGGTGGCAGCGGCGCAGGATGCAGGAGTTGGGCTGTTATTCGATTGCATCAGGGAGCACATTCCGCTTGACGAGCTAGTCGATCCCGGGGAGTCCAGTTCCGACACTGAGGACGCAGCCGCTGAAGTGCTGGGCGCCTCGTCGTCGGGCGTGATCGGGGGTGAGGTCAACCGCGAGGAGCAGTTGCTCCCAGCCAAGCTGCCGGCTCCACTGTCCACATCGTCATAGTCGTAGACATCCTCATCCATGGCCTCGCTGTCCGACTTGGACCTATTCTCCCGCTCCCGCTCCCTCCTATTCTGTCTCTGTTCCTCGATTTCCTCCTGCTCTGGCTGCTCCAATAGTTGACTAGATGATGCTACACATCCTCCCACCGTAGTGCCTGCATGAATACTGGGACTATTCAGGAGCGGAGTGGCTGGCGCCAGGACTCCGCTCTTGCGCAGACTCTGCTCCAGCTCCAGCAGCTGGCCCATGAAGTTCAGGTTGGGCGAGATGATCGGCCGGGCCACTTTCACCAGCTTGTAGGCCTCCAGGAGGGAGAGTGACTTGTACCGCATCACATAGGCGATGGCGATGGTGGCGCTCCTCGAGATGCCCGCGTGACAATGGAGCAGAACACGAGATCCCGTTATCCTGGCATCCTCTGTAAATAAAATAGAAATAATGGATGTTTTAGTTAAGCTGCTCAACATTATTGATTATATTTTATTATAAGATCTTAAATATTATTTAAAAGTTTAATATTTCAGCATCTCTAACTGGAGGGAGAAACTTTCAAGTCTCTGGCTGTCGAATTTCGATGATGTTGCCTTCTTCTTTCTCGTTGTTGTTTTTGTTTTTGTGCCTGTGCTCTTGATGCGGCTGTCGATAGTGGTCTGTGTGTGTGTGTGTTGGTGAGTGTGGCCGTTCTCACTACTCGCCACCTCTGGCGCGCTCTCCCACCTCAACTCTGCCGCTCTGCCCACTCTCTCCCGCTAAACTTAACTGTGTGAATTTTGCTGGATGAGTCATCATCGTCCATTGCTGCCAGCAACAACAAAAACATTGAGCACAAAGCTTATTGACAGAACATTTTTATACCCTCACACGAGCACACACACACACTCGCACACACACACACGTGGGGCACATTAACTCATAATTTACGTTGTTATTTTTGGGCAAGATAAGCAACAGCAGGAAGAAGCAGACAACCAGAGAAGGAGGAAGAGGAAGAGAACCCAGAAGAATCCACAGCATACGGCGTACTTTTTTTTTTTTTCATCCAAGGCTCAAATAATAAAGTGTATAAAATATCTTGCAGATACATTTGGAAGTACATATCTCTCCCCCGCTTCTAGAACACACCCCTTAAACTAGAATTCTTCGTATTTTCGGGTTATGGAAGCCTGCCTGTAATCACTGCCACCACCCCACACCCCACTGCCCACTGATATCTTATCGGCCAGGAGTTGTGGTGTGATTTTGGTGACGGGCTGAAAAAAATATACAAAAAAAAAATATAATGAAATGAAACAAAAACTGAATGGAACGGAGTAGGGAGGACGGTGGGTTCGGGGAGCCTTTCCTAATCGATGCTTACTCATAATGCAAACAAGTCGACACTTGTCTGATTTCCAAACAGTTGATAACTCGAAAGAAGCCTTGTTAGTCACCATGCCCGTGATGGGCCTCTAAAGTTCTACAGACATGTTTCATATAAAACCCTTTCCGATGATGGTGATATCAGCGATAAACATGGAAGGCGCGTGTAACGCACTTGGAATTGCAACCAGCCAGCCTGCCCCCCTCCCCCTTTTTTCCAATTCAAGTGGCAAGAGCGGCCAGGTGAGATAACACACAGTATTCCCGATTTATCAATGAATGGGTGCAAAGTAGACACCGATAAGGACACCATTCCCACACAACGCCAAACTAGGGATTCGCATTTTCAAACACCATTATGAATTGCAGTTTCCACTCCACTCCACCCCACAACCCCACCCCACTTAGACTAGTGATATCACATCGTTCTACCATGATATGGCAACTAAGTACAGCCTGGGGAAAATCCATCATAAATAAATAATCGATGATAACATAATCACTAAAATTGAAGGCCTTTGAGTACATTTGCACGTCAGAGTTTCCAAATAGATAGATATTATATATCCCCTAGCTTAAGAAGTCTTTTTTCTTTCAGTGTATTAAAAATGAATCAAAAATTAAAAAAGAAATAAAAAATACCAACCTATGTATAGGCTGGCCAAAAATAGCCCCTCAGATAAAGAAAGATGATCATTAAGCGTACAATGGCAGACAATTGGTCACCGTCCCGTTTCATTCTGGCCGTGTCACCTCTCCCAGCCCCCTTCTTCTGGGCCATAAATCCTCTTAGTTAATGACCCAGTCGTTCAGTCAGTTAAAATCGGACATAAAAACGCGCTGTATGTCTCGCGTAGACGCCATGACTCATGTGGCTAGGAAAACGGCCCCGAAACGGGGGGAGTTTCGAAACAAAACTCCCAAGAAGTAACTGAATGGATTTCGCAAAATTCTAGATTGAGTAACAATAGAGTCAAGTGTGGGGTGTACCTATAAGGTATAGTATTAGGATAGGATCTGTATTAGGTTAGTAACTGTATTAGGAGTTTAGGTGGTTAGGTGGTTGGTTAAACTATTAGGTTCAGTTAGGATAGGAGTAAACAGGTCCTAGTCCTACTTTAACCCCTATATCTTTTTTTCTTTTTAGCATCTTTAGTCTGAAGTATCTTGTAAGGAACTATCCATCTAGGAGAGGAATGGACAGGACCTAGTCCTAATCTTAGCCTCTGTATCTTTTCTCTTATTAGTATCTCAAGTCTGAAGTATCTTATATCTTAAAGTATAAGGAACTATCCAATTAGGAGAGGATTGGACAGGACCTAGTCCTATCTTAGCCAATGTATCTTTTCTCTTTTTAGTATCTCAAGTCCCAAGTATCTTGAAAATAACTATCCATCTTTGTTCCATTTATAGAAACTGGAACTCGAAACTAGATACATATGTTGAAGCTTTGTCAGATTATCGGGAAGCCAAGCTTAGGTAATTGTTTATTTTTCAAATGACACATATATGTGCAACATGCTGGGAAGCTTAGTAAGCGCCAATAGTGCCGCACTTATTCATGACTAAGTTCCAGTTTACCGGCGCGGTCACATAGTCCACCGATGAGTATGGCTGAGTGATCCCTAAAAGTCGTGCCCACCATTACCATACCATTCCATACCACAGGGCTAATAGTCGTGACTCCCCATTTTAGGGGCGATGCGTAATGCCGCCGCCGTCAACCCCCAAAAAGCCTCCCACTTTCATTTCTCACCGATTCTGATTGGGATTCCTATGATTAAGTGCAACAGTAGCCGGTCCCCAGAATGCGTATGCGTCATCTGGTGATTTCGGCCCAGAAGTGGGCCAAGTGGCAGACAACTGTCTGACAGCTGCGAGGCAGTGGAAGTGAATCTGTATGGTGCATACACTGAACAAAAATCTAACTAAGTTCTTTTTTAAAGTTTATAACTAAATGAGGAATAAATTCTGTATTTTTAGTATAAAACCTTAATAGTTAGTTAATAATATTATCTTTTTTGTAGAGTTTTTTTTAAGTGTAGTAGACATCCATGTCTCTCCACAATGATGATGACTCGGAGTTCTGGTTCTCAATGTCCGATTGGCCAATATATCACTCCCGTTTCACTTTCCACGCGATGATTAAGAGCCGGATCTCGGATTCCGGACCTGGGAGTCTTGCTTTTCAGAACCCAAGGGTCAACCCAGGCAGTGTCAGTGTCTCCCAGGGCGCTAAACTCTGACTCATGTCCACAAAACAATAACAATAACAAAACAGCAAGCCAGAGTTGAAAAAAAGATACTTCAAGAGAACCATCAGTACCTGGAAGCTAAGAATATAGGACTGATCTATTGATGATTATATTCTAATAAGAGGAACTAGACTTGAACTCTATTATTATGCAACATGGATCAGGATAGTATATGTTGTCAAGCAACAAGTAGTTTTGTTTATTTTTTTCAAAATATTTAATTACTTTCGGCGACTGTTTATCGGCGACGAAGAATGCCCGCTTACTCATCCCTCCGTCCGTCCATCCATATTCTGATTCAGCCAGAAAGAGACAGCATGAGTGCGACGGCGGCAGGTGCCAGGACACTTAAATGGCGATAAGGCGGCGCTGAATCATTCGAGAGACAAAGGCAGTTTGGAGAGGGGGGGGTGGGGGATACTCTCGGCTTGACCTTCAACTTGGCGAAGCTCGACTTTGACGAGACGAGTCATACGGAAACAAACAAAAACAAAAACAACAACAACAAAGCTCACAAAAACTCTGCCTGCACTTTGAAGTTGGCAACAATCCGCAAAGTAGTAGGTGCGAACGAGAGGGGCAGAGGTAGTGGTGAGTGGGTGAGTTACTGAGTGAGGTGTGAGGGGGAAAGGTGATTGAGTGGGGCTCTCCTCGAGTGATTCATAAAGAGCATGCGCAAAAGTCTCATAAACAAATTGCGCGCAAAAACAGTGCGCGGGCGCAATAGCGGCAAAGAAAGGAAAATAAATAAAAAGAGGAAGTACGATATACGTGGGCGTGGTTCCCTGTAAAATGATTAAGTGCCTTATAATTCGCATTTCTCATGCGCCCGGCACAACACCAAGACCCAAAAAAATAAAAAAAAAACCTGAAGTCGTATTCGAAATTCCTGTGCGAAGATTTTCTGTTTATTTCTCGCTGGGTCGGTCGCTTTTGCATTTTAAAAATAGCCGGCTGACGAATATTGAAATTATGCGCACGGGGGCCAACAAAAATGTCACCTCGGATTTTTGGTTGTTGCTGCCAACGGATTTTCGATTACTCATTAGTGGCAGGACTGCTCTTTTTGGGGGCACAAGTAGCATATACTATTATACGAGTAGCTTTTATTAAAAGATCCCTCCTTCAAAAAGGTATTCCAACTTCATCATGTTTAGAACTCCATATGTATGTACGTTTGTATAGTTTTATCTTATCAGCTGTATGTAGAGTATATAGAACACTGCTATCACCAAATGTTCTAGAGGTGCCTCCCTCTAGCTGTTTACTTAGCTGCTTCATAGGTTGTGTGAGTGCCTCTACCCGTAAAAGTAACCCGTATTTACTTCTGGAATACCTATGCATAGACTATACGTTATATAGCCTTTACTTAGATTAAGTAAGCCAAGAGGGCTGGCAGATAAAAGTTGATGTCTTGATATCTTGACGCACAAATAATACTAATACATACATACATACATATGTACAATTTGAAGGTAAATAATGGTTCATATGTATCTGTGTATGTGGGTACAGTCAGCACAGACACCGTGGCGATAGCTCGACCAATTGATTAGGCCTCCAAGTGATAAGAAAAAAGCTAGAAAGCGCTAGATAGAGCAAGTTTTGTAGGTAACCAACTAAAATAAAGGCTAAAATAATTCCTCAAAAAACGTCCTTTAGAGAGAGTGAGACAAAAGATAGCTACAGGTACCGTTTCCCCACAATTGAGGCTTTGATTGCTTTCTAGGCCAAGTGACTGTCTCGGTTTATCATTCATGTTAATGACACAGCATAATGACATTAGCATTATCCGACAACAACAACAACTACAACTACAACTACACTAATGAGCCTCGGCCGGCGCCTCTGCCAACGTTGAGCTCATTTTAAGCTTGGCATAGCGGTGCTTCCTCCCCCCCCGTTGACCCCCTCCTTTTATCAAAAAAGAGTGCTTTTGCAGCACACAAAGTGCTGTTATAATGAATGGAGGCGAAAAGACGTTAAAAAATCATAAGAAGAAGAAGAAGCAGCAGTACACTTGGACAAAATAAAACAATAATAATAGGCATAAGGTGACGACGGCAAACCAAAAAATGAATGCGCAAAAGGCAGCAGCAAACACAATCACAATCATACAAAAGCAAACGCAAACACACAAACACAAACAGAGAAACGAAATCATGAGTCATGCACTCGGTACAATATTCTCCTTCCTCCTCGGCTTCGACCTCCTCCTCACCCATCACCGTTACTTCGTGCCTGAGTACTAATGTGCTTTGAGTGAGAGGCAGAGAGGTAGAGCATTTATAAAAATAATACTTGAGAACATGGGCGTACGCATTATTTTATCAGGGTGGGAGGAATACAACAAGGGGGTGTCGTTTTCAGATGCCAAGGAACAAAATCCCTAATGGGCTTAACCCTTAAGAACATCCTGCTTACCACACTCCACCTTTAGGGGTGGGTGGGAGTACAAACAAAGAGAAAGATCTGTAGGATGCTGTATAACAGTTAATAGAGTGATCTGGAAAGAGAGTAGCGAGAAAGAGTAGGAGCAGCTGTTGCTGCTCGCACACCTGACATCCGCAACAACAACAATAACATAAACATCAGCCGTCGTCGGGGCCACACGCACAAGGATAACCCAAAAAAGCAGAACGATGACGACGATGACTCATAAACAGGAACAGAAAATGTTTACAAAAATAGAACATATGCCAAAAGAAACCGAGCTGGCGGGGAGGATGGGGGGAGGGGGGCGAAGAGTGCCGTTCGTTGCTGCTGGCGGCGCAATAAATAGCAACAATAAGAAGCCAACTGAAAAATCGATGCGGCTGACTGAATGCTACAAACAAGGAGCGCGTGCTATCCCTCACTACCACCACCATCACCACTGCCACCGCCACCTCCACCCCATCCACCCACTCTTGTTCGCCGTCTCGCTCTTTGTGTTCCACATTGCACGATGAGTCATCATGCTAACGGCACACAGTGCTGGCCGAAATTACAGTGCTGCCCAGGAAACCCGAGGACAACCCTTATCAGAAAGGACGTTTGCGGTTGGTTAGCGTTGTTGCCTGAAACTATGTTGTTGTTGTTGTTGCTGGCAATATGCATAAAATTTCCATTACCCGAGGTACACTCAGGAATAATAATAAGCTCAATAAAGACTTTAAATAAAGAATTTAAAATAAAAAGTTAAAAAAAAGTAAACTTTTATAAGGATTTAAAAGGAGTTAAATTATTTAATTATTTTTGAATATTTATTTATTATTAAATTTTATTTGCAGTGTATCTTGGTCTATTATGCAAACCAAAGCAAAGCGAGTAAAAGCAAGAGGGAAAAAAAAAAGAAAAGCCATTTTAAGCGCAGGAGCAGCAACGTCATAGCAGCCGAAGTCGCAACACAGTAACAGTAACAGCAACAACAACAATAACAAAAAAGCTACAGAAGCAGAGACATTGCTGCCGCCATGCTGTCTGCCAACGCCAACACGCAACAGCAAAAACAATGTGCCGGCGAACGAAGGAGGAACGGAGGAGGCCCAAGGAACGATGGCTGGCAGGAATCAAGGCAGCGATAGCGTGGGAGCCGTTATGCTGCTGCCCCAACAACAAAAACAGTGAAAAGAGGAGGAGGCATATACATACATAGCTTCCTTGCCCACTCTAACCGATTTCTATAACATGTAGAGAGAGTGAGAGAGAAGGATTATGGATTGGAGCCTAGGGTTCCCTATTTTGTCGAATCTTAAAGATACAATATTTTCTGGAAATTACGCAGTAGGGTCTTAATATCTTAAATATCTCAATATCTTATATGAATTTTAACTCAAATATTAATTATTCTCAAGTTCTTGAGCTTCCAAGTACAACCTCAAAATACATACTGTTTGGAGGTCGACATCTGTCGCCCACTCGGGCTTTCTCGCGCTTGTTTTTAAATGAAATATTTGCACTACTTAACTTAAATCAGAGAAAAGCTAAAAAAAAAAACAGCACAGAATGACAAAGCTCGTGCACACGTGCCGAGATATTAGCTGCTGCTTATAAAAAATAAATAAAAAAAAATGCAAAACAAAAATACTTGATGAACAGCTTCGGACATAGAAAATGGAAAAATGCGATTGACGTCAGCATTTTATATTCCACGGCTATAGCTATATATATCTCTCTCTCTCTCTCGTACATATTGTACATATTATTTTCATTTAAAATTAACAAAAGTATAGTCTGCTGAAGGCAGCACAAATAATAACCAAGAACAAAGATTTTCCAGCAAAAAGAAAGGCTGGCAAGACTGGCAAGTGGAAGCCAGACTAAAGCCGTTATGCAAAAATACAGTGACCAGTGACCAGTGACCGCCAGGCATCCAATAACAAGTCACGTTTAGCAATCGCCAATCGGCCCAAGATGATGACTAAGCGTAACGCGGATTCTCCGGCTCGGTTCTGGGAATCTTGGACTTGAAAAATATTTTCCAGTTAAAAGATAATTAGGCAGCCCCTAATCTCAAAGAAAGTCTAGCTAAATTTCCTAGAAGAATTCTTATCTTGAAGTTCCTAATAATATTTTTTATACATAGATAATATCCTTAAATATTATTTATTTGCTAGAAACTCACCAATAAAGTCGAAGGCCTCCTGGAAGTACTGCTTGATGTTCTGGTGAGGAGTATCGCTGGCGGGGATCTGCATGTACTTGAGCCCCTCCAGACACCGCTCGCTGGGACTCTGGCAGGTAACATTCAGCACGCAGTTGGCGCCCACGCTGCTGGGATCGTCGGCGTCGCGGCCATTGCCCAGCAATAGATGCGGGAACACGGGCGAGGCGGGATGTGTTTCTATATCTGTAAGATACATAGATAGATACAACGGATCATTAGTTTTGATGAGTAAATAATGGAAAAGTTCTGCACAATACAACTCGGTACCAAGTGGTCGGATCGGATAGGGTCGGGTCGGATCGGGTGGGATCTTTGCCAATTCGCGATGTCATGCAACAAAAAGAGTCTGGCAAATGATCGGCCTGGCCTAGCCTGGCCCTCTTTTTCTGTATCTGTATCTGTGTATTTGTATCTGTATCTGTATCTATTGTTGTATACAATGTCTAAATTTTGCTACAACAAATTGTTTATTTTTTTTTTCGTAGTCTTCCTCCCTCCTGCCCACCCAGTAGTTTCGTTTCGATTCGATTCGTCTGCTGCGGCTGTTTCTGTTGCATGAGTCATGCCACATACAGGGGCATAATAGTCGCAGTTCAGTTGGGTTCACTTTTATTGGCAGTGGGCGAAGTTGAAGGGTGGCGCGGGGGGCAGGCCAGAGGGTGGTGTTAGGGGGGCAAGGGGCAGGGGGTGCCTCATGGCCGTACCGAGTTCGTAGCACTCTCAATGAGCCGCGCAATTGTTTTTTTGTAATTTTTTTGTTGTTTTTGTTGTTTCCTCTCTATGTGTGTATCTATAATTGTTAACAGTCTAACTACACTTGAAAAAATTTATTTTTATATATTTTTCTTAAATTATTCATATTTATTTATTAATTTTTTTTATTTAAATACATAATGGGTCTTCATATAAAAATTTTTTAAAAACTTTATCAAAATATTTCTCTAAGTGCATTACTTAGATTGAAGTGCGGGCTGCCAATGGGCCCAGCATATGCCCTGCGGTTTTGGCTATTACCTCCCCACTCCCCACCCCTCCACTTCACCACCCGGCTCATCGATTATTTGTCATTGGGTTGCGTGTTAATTGATAGCACTCTGAGCCATGGCAACTTGAAGTCGTATATATTTAATTTCTGTTTGGTTTTTTTTTTGTTTATTTTTTTGGGTACTGCACTGCACTTTGTGGGTCACACGGAAATCACTTGCATTAGTCATCGCAGCCAATCGCAGTGCCAACACCACGTTGGAACTTTACACGTAAAGATGATTGTCATTGCGGCATTTACGCAAGCTCGGAAAAGCTGATAGTACGTAGTGCGATTGCAATTAAGAGAATTCATTAAATAAATATATAAATATTTGCCAGAGTGACTCAGTGGAAGTGTATTTTGGTAGTGGGAGTGGTGGTCATACATCAATCGATCAATAATACGTGATTTTTAAAGGGTATTTGAACGGTAGGCCAAGTAGGTGACGAACAGCAGTCCTTAGTGTGACCTAACTAAACAAAACTAGTTCCTTTTTGAGTTATGAATAAAATATTGATTATAGAAGTATATTTTGGTAAACAGAAATCCGCAGTAGGAGTGGTCCTCCATCTATTGATCAATTATCAATGATTTTTAAAAGGTACTTCCTATCATTTCTATACTATTAGTGTAGCCCTTAGTGTGACCAAAACGATCAAAACTAGTCCTTTTTTCAGTTATGAAGTAAATATTCTTTATAGAAGTGTATTTTGGTTAACAGAAATAACCAATGGGAGTGGTAATACGATCATCAATAGACCAATAGTACTTGAAAGGGTATTTCCTATAATTTCCATACTATTGTGAACGGTAGGTCAAGTAGGTGACGAGCCCTTAGACCTTAGAGTGTCCAAACTAATCAAAACTAGTCCTTTTTCCAGTAATAAATTAAGTTTCTTATGAATTACAATGTTTTTAATGAGAATTTCAAGTTAATAAATATAAATATTCTATTTTTACAGGAAAACTACATTATTTGCTGAATAACAGCTTTGATTCCTGAGAAACACGACCTAATCAGGTGGAAAAATTCAACAAAATCCAGGAAGACCCCTGAAGCATATTATTCAAAAACTGAAATGAGTAATGAAAATAAAGTTCACTGGAGAGTATGACATTGAAATGATTGCTCTTGTTGGTTCTTGCTTATTTGCATGTGTTTCCATACACATGTATAGTACATATAAAGCTCGATTTCGTAACTAAAAAAAAAAAATGAACGAGTACGGGAGCGCGACAATAAATTCGCATTTATCTCACAGCACGTGCCGAAGCAAAAACAAAAATGTTTGTTTTTAATGTTAAGCAGAGCTTAAACGAGAGCTGGGGAGGGAGAGATTGTATGACAATCTCAGACAATTTATCGCCATGTAGAACTATATCAGAAGGGGGTAATTGGGGGTCGGGGGATGGAGGCCTAAGGCCGAGTAGGAAATAAAATGCAATGATAAGCACAAATTCATATATTTCCCGACATGCAAATATGCAACAAAGCAGAACAATCGAGAGACTGCTCAACAGTTCCGCTCGAGATGCACAATATATGTATGGTATTTATCTCAAAAATGGAAAACTTAATGCTTGGAGAGTAAAAGTGATGGATATTTCATGAATCAACCAGAGATTTGGTAAAATCAACATCGACTATAGATTATATTACTTTTTCAGACATTTTTTACGGGGTTTGAGTCACAAAGATAGATAGTTTTAGGGGGAATCCCATACGGGTTAGCTTTCACTACTTACCGTATACCGCCGGACTGGAGCAGCTGCGGGTCAGCGGCGGCGTCCGTCCGCCGCCGTTCATTGCCGTGGAGGATGACGTCGTCGATGTCACTGGTGACGATTGCTCGTCACATACCAGATTCTCCCTGGACCGCTTGTTGGGATAGTCCTTCTGATTGGCTGCAAAAAGTAAACCGAATTAATATTGTTTCTCTGATTTAAAATGAGAGTTTGCTTAATTTTATACCCTATGATGTCAGCACCACACACTGCTGGACCGGACCGCAGTGCAAAAAAAAACTTGTCGCGCCAAGTCTGTGTTCAAATAACTCGCAAAATACAACAAAAAATATTTCGTTTCGGCTGCCAAAACTGACGTAAGACATTAATTTCGGCCCGGGAGTTGTTGGCTGATTAGCGGACGAGCCCGAAAGCTTTCCACATACATACCATACGCTGCCTGGGAAGTCGCTTATCACAATGAACGGGCACAATTAGAAAACGCAGTGTAAGCGCCTCCGATACCGATATGGCTTGAAAGCCCAGCAAGAGTAGTATTAGTAGTAACTAAAAATTAGTTGAAATAATAGCTACATTTCCTCAGCCTTTTCAAGGGGGTCTTGACGGGTTAAAGCACTGACATTATCAGCTCCACCACATAAACAGTAGTGTGTTGGGTGTTTATGCTGAATAGAAGCGTTCTTATCAGCCAGGCGACCTCAAAAAGAAAATATTTCAAAAAAAGAAAAAAAATACAACGAATTTTTTTCCACCGCAGGCAGGAAATGTTGGCTCAGTTATGTTGTCGTTGGCTGGTTTTGGTTTTAATTTTTTTTTTTTTTTTTTTGCGGCTAGGAAAACAAGTAAAATTGCATGCCAATAGTGCATTGCCAACACACAGGGGCGTCTGGAGACAAAGTGTGGGCTTAAAGGGGGTTTAAAGGGGGGTGGGGGGCGCCCAAGTGCCAATTAGCAGAAAACTGAAAAACAAGTTATCAGCCTGGTTTTTTCCTCCTCTCCTCCTCAATATTGGGTAGTATTTTGTATCATTTATATTTTTAGTTTCTCAACTTTTATTGGATCCACCTGACGTAATATCTTAGTTACTTGTTTTTTTTGGTTTGTTTATAATGACTTATGACTTACTTTATTCTAACAATTAGCAATAAAAGATTAGGTTTCTGTGTTGACTGCCATTTTTTGCAATAGAATGTGAAAGATTTGCAATTATTTTCGCAGTCTTTGATGTGGAGCCTTTGGGGGGACACTACTGGGTACTGCCACTGCACTCTCTCTCGCTCTGTCTCTGTCTCTGTCTGGCCTGCTCCCAACTCCAATTCGTTTCAAGTTGTTGCTGAGGCTGTTGCTTTTTCTCCTCCTAACCCTCTCGTTCTTCTGCCTCTTCTGCTGCTTCGCCCTCTGAGGCTTGTTATTGCAGGCTTGTTATTGTTGTTGCTGTTCTTGTTGTTGTTGTGCCGATGAATTCGTACTCGAAAGGTCGTTTCAAAGCGGGTTTTCAGTTGGTTTCTTTCAGCGTTGCCAGGCCGCTTCAGAAACCTGCTTTGCTTTACATTTTTTTCTGTGTTTTATTTGTACTCGTATTTATTATTTTTTTTTTTGGTTTTTTCTGTTTAGCCAGCCAGCCAGCGAACGAAACGAAACGAAACGCTTCTTTGCTTTTATTTTTGAAAGACACGCGAATTGTGAGTCACGTATAAGTAACTGACTCCGAGTCTCTGATCTCTCGAGCTTGGCTTTTTTTTCTGTTTTTTTTGTTGCTTTTCGTGAAATGGAGACGCTGACGCTTACGTGTGTTCCCCCCCAGAGGCGTACCTACGATTGGGTTGATTTCAGAGGGGGATTGCTTGCAGAATACCCCCTGTAACCTACACCTCAAGCTCTATATAGCTCTACCTCTAGCCCAGCAGCATGTTCAATAGATTCCCCGCTCTATTGTAATCTGTAATTGACGAATCTTTTCTGTTGTTTTTGTTGTTGTTGCTCGATTGTACTCACCCCCAATGCGATTGTTGTTGTTGGTATTTTGGATTGGCATAAATAACAGAAGACACGGCGCTTCTCTCTTTATCCGCATTTTCATTTCACTTTTATGACTCACGCTGTTGCTGTCTCCGTCGCACTCACAGCAATTGTTGTTGCGTGTTGTTGACGTTGCCGTTGCCGTTGTAGCTTCGTTGTAGTTGTAGTTGTAGTTGTTGCTGCTGTTGTTGTTGTTGTTGCTGCTCAGCGTTTCTGCTCGATTCACACACATATGCAAACACTGATATACACAGAGGCACACTCTCTCACATAAAACTGTTTCAAAATTGATATTTATTCCCCGTTTCTATTATTTTTTTCTATGATTGGTTTATTAGATAATCTCCGACACTTGTTGAGCCACTTCCCGTTATAATTCGGGGCAAGTTGGCTGCTATGAGTGTGTTGTGTTGCAACCAAGTCGGACCCAAAAATCCAGTTGTGTGTCCACTTGTAGCGCGCGCACTTTTATTTTTTTTATTTAATTGATTAAACGCGAGGGAAAACGCGGGCTCCTTTCTACACCACCACAATTGGTCCAAGCCAACGTGCAGTTGAGTTAAAGTTCCTTTTCTTCTTTGCTTCTCACCCACGCACGAAACACGTCCGCTCGCCGCAAGTTGGTTCTCGGTTTTGGCGGTGGAGACTTTCTAGTGTCGATGGCAAGCTCGAAAAAGGTGGGTGATAAAACACGGCTGTTCCTCTGTTTTGTTCCACTGTGGTGCGGCTAACATATGTTGGTTTCAAAAAAGTGTGACCAATGTTAGTCGAAACAGCTGTTTTGTATTTAATTTAACCGGTTCGTACTTAACCGCTCTGATTTTAAATGCAAACTAAGTTCGTTTTTCTTGAGGGGATTAGAAAAAAAATTACTGTATAAGTTAGTTATGACTTCATAAAAAGATTTGTTAGTCCACTTTTGGTTGTTTAATTCCGATTTCTCCCAACCGGTTAACACATAAGAATAGGTTCCACAGGGCAGTGCTGCCAAATTGGATCAACCTAAATCGCTTTTTAAAGTTGTAAGAAACGAAGGCTATTTAGAAAAATCCTTAAGAACAATTACAACATAGTAAGCTTATTCGAATTAAACTACTAGAATGAAGCTATTTTTTATTCATTTATATTTTATGAAAAAAAATAAACAAATAAAATCCATCTAGTACTAGCACAAAAGTGAATAAGTAAATTATAATACTGAAAAAATTAAACTTAAAAGCTTTAGTTAAGATAACAAAATTTATTATAAAATACAATATACTAATCAACTTTTCTTTTCTATAATTAAAACAATTTTTATTAATTAAAACTTGGCAGCATTGATCATCGTTACGAATAACGTTCAAATATTCATCGAAGACGAAAATTCGAAAATTCCCGCCCGGTTCGGAAGGAAAAAATGTACTTTTTGTATATATTCCGATATTTTTTTTAGATCTGACTCTCAGCGCGCCAAGTTTAAAGATCAAAATATAATTAAAAACAAAAAACTTTTTTTTTGTCATTGTTTTCTTTACTTTGGTAGATAAATTATATTTATAAATTTAGCTCGTTGGGAACCGCTGGCTTCCAGCCTCCAAAAGCCCTTTCTAGCTCCACGGCAACTCGAAGGCACAATCGGTCCTGATTTGGACCAGCGATAATGGAAAATCCGTACGGAAGACCCCGTTCATCCAAGCCCATGGGCACATGGGTAACCGGAAGACCCAGAACATTGAAGATCAGGGTATAGTCGACGCCCCAGAGGGAAAATACTGACCACTTGTGTCGCGGAGCCGGTAAATTCAAGGTGGGAAACAGTAGGACGCCATTATCGCCGAGAAGTTTCTACAAAGATAAGATACATAATTCTGTTATTACAAAATACAATAATAGTTGAAGTAAAAAAAAGTATTTTACAATTGGTTATTACACGAAAAATAACGATTGCGACATAAAATGTGGTTTCTCATAATTTTTTTTACAATTCAGAATAATAACTGGGAAACCAAAGTACAATCTGATGACTATGATGACTTTACAAATAACAATTAACCTGATTTTAATGTAATTCCCTCGAGCACAACTGGCTATAACTTGCGTGTTAACTAATTGCTCACTTACGCTGAACTCTCCGATGAGAAGCCGCGACTCCTCCAGATACTGGTTCACCTTTGCCCTGGTCATGAAGGCGTTTGTACGTCGCAAAAGTTCGAACATCAGAGCATTTGTTGTGTAACTGGACTGACCCACCAGACTGCGTAGTATCTCCCAAAGGTTCTGCTTAACTTTACCCGACTCCTCGGATCCTCCTTCCAGCAGGTAAACCATGCCATATTGTGCAGCGATTCCCGAAAGGGCCATTTCTACAGAGTTGTTCAGATTGGGCAATTGGGACTGAGTCACCTCTAGGCCAAGGGTCTTCAAGTGAGTGGCTGCTCTGCAAATGGAGTTCCGTATGTTCTCGTCCACAGGCATGTGTATGAGTCCATTCAGGCCTTCCCAGCCGAGTGCATAGTTCACTTTTATTTTATTCAATTGGACTGGTTCGGCTAGACGTAACTTTTTAGAGTTTTCTTCGCCTGCCATGACTCGAAGTAGGTCGGTGAGATCCACGGCGAACCGGGTCATGGGTCCCTCCACCAGATAGTGCTCGATATCCGAATCTGTGGAGTCGGGAAAGTGTCCTTTAGTGGAAACAGCTCTGCCCGAGGGTTTGTGCCCAAAGATGCCACAATACTGGCTGGGAATACGAATGGATCCTCCAATATCCGATCCAATGCCAAACAGAGAGGCTCCAGCGCCATTTAGAGAGCCCTGAGGATGGGAATTATTGGATTTTATTCATGAATTATTCATTTTTTTATACTCACCTCACCTCCAGAGCTGCCGCCCGGAGTCCTCTCATCGTCGTACGGGTTGACAGATCGTCCATTCAGCAAGGTGTCCGTTTCAATGCTAAAACAATACTCCGGAGTTGCAGAGATCAGAAGCGGAATAGCTCCAGCAGTTTTCAATCGTTTCACAGTATCGCCATCGGCTTTAGCTTTTACATTTTTTCTGAACAGGCTGCCCACAGAGAATGTCATGCCTTCGATGCCACATGACTCCTTGACGGTCATGGGCAGACCCAGCAGTGGACGCCCTTCGAAAAGCTTCTCCACCGCCTCTGAAGATGCGCATCCGGCTATAAGGTCATCGGCATTTTGGGCTTCCTTCAAAGCAGCCGGAAAACGAGATTCAATCACCGCATTTAAATGGGAATTAACGCTCTCGATTCGGTCGATGTAGGCCTTCACCAGTTCCACAGAAGTCAACTAAAAGGGATTGACAAATTTTATTTATATTTTTAAAGATAATACTCACTGGCTAGACTGTTAAATGATAAGCTCTAATATTGACCTTTAGTTTTATGATAAGGGCACGGAATTAAGTTCTCATGCTCGGTCAACAAATCTGTTTTTTTAATTAAAGAGTTACCTGACGTGATCGAAGGCGACTGCGAAGCTCCTGAATACTCAAAAGGAGAAGTGGATTTTTGATCGGAGGTACTAAGGTCCTTTTGGGTTTCTGCGGATACACAAACTTATCCAAAATCGGAGTGATGATCACGGCAAGCACCTTTACGACTATCAACAGCAACCGGAGAAATATTTCCATTGTGGATCGTTCTGAAGCTGAAAAGAGAATGAAAGAAATAAACAAAAACAAGCGGATGACGGCATGGCGGGAACTAATGCTATCGGGATCACGCACACACAGATACAAATTTTCGATTGCAACAGGTGGGAATATGGCGGGAAATTCAAATATTTATTGTCTATCATCATTTAAAATCTACAAAACGTCTTAAATTTCACAAAATACCATTTTAGACTTTTGAAGATTATTAAAGAATGCGTTCAAAGAACTCGGCATCTTTGTTCAAATAATTTTATTTGTATAATTATTTTTAAATATTTCGTGTCCGATTTTAAAAGTAGAGTTAGCGACAATAAATTTAATATCAGCGGTGAAACTTTTTCAATTTTTAAAATAAAATCAATTATAAAAATATTATAAAAATAAAATATAATTATAATTAAAATTAAATTAACCTACATATAAGAACTATCGATACATTATGACGATCGATTGTGGAAGACGCGCAGTGCTCGTAAGCGCCGCTAAAAGTGCTGGATAATGCCACCAGAATAACAAAAACCTGGAAATAAAAATAAAGAATTGGCTTTAACAATGGTGTAAAAAAAGAAAAAACTTTTGAGAGCAAAGAGAGTCTGCATGAACTATTTAACAATTCTGCTGTGCAACCGAAAACCGACGATGCTCTCGCGCCGGAGCAAGGAGAAACAGCACAAGGAGGGCGTGGTGGGAAAGTATGTGAAGAAGGACACTCCGCCGGAGATACCCGTGATCAATGTGTGGTCCAGTGACCAGCGGTCCAAGAAGAAAACGCTGCAGCGCTGTGCAAGCACCTCGCCCAGTTGCGAGTTCCATCCGCGCAGTTCGAGCACCAGCAGGAACACATATTCCTGCGCAGACTCTCAGCCGGATTACTACCATGCCCGGCGGGCACAGAGCCAGATGCCTCTTCAGCCGCACAACCATCACTCCCACACCCATATGCATACGCATCCGCCTCTGCCGCCCCATCAGTTCCGGGCCAGCAGCAACCAGCTGAGTCAGGGCAGCGCTGGCAGCAGCAGCAGCAACTATGTAAACATAGAGCAAATCGATCGGATGCGTCGCCAGCAGTCATCGCCGTTGCTGCCGACCAGTCCGTCACCGGGCCCGGCTGCAGGTGGATTTCAGCGCAGCTACTCCACCACCCAGCGCCAGCAGCATCCGCATCCGCATATGGCGGCAGCTAGCTACGATGCGGATCAGGGCATGCTAAGTGCATCCTATGCGAATATGTTGCAACTGCCGCAGCGCCCGAACTCTCCCGCCCACTATGCTATCCCCCCACCTCAAGCCCAGCAGCTCCAACAGCAACATCACCAACAGCATGCATCCACCCCTTTCGGGTCCACATTGCGCTTTGATACGGCCGGCATGTCGTTCAGGGATCGCCAGCCAAGGTATCACCCCACTAGGTATGACGAATTCGCTTCATACATCTGATGATGAGTCACTTGTATGGTGTTTCTATAAACAATCTTTTTTTTCGCTTTTGTAGGTCACCCATGCAACAACAGCAGCAGCTACAGCACCAGCAACTGGCGGCCCACCTGGGTGGCAGCTACTCCAGTGACTCTTACCCGATTTATGAGAATCCGTACCGCGTTTCCTCGATGCGAGCCACTCAGTCGCAGCGGTCAGAGTCGCCGATCTACAGCAACACCACGGCTTCCTCTGCCACGCTGGCCGTGGTACCACCGCCCCATCACCAAGGTCATCTAGCGGTGCCTGGTGCCGGTGCAAGTGGTGGGGGATCTCTCAGCGGAAGTGGCCTTGACGGCAGCTCGGGCAGCATTCGTGGCGCCTCTACCTCAGTGCAGTCTTTGTATGCACCACCCCGCACACCTCCGAGTGGAGCGGGCGGAATCGGCGGCAGTGTGAATGGATCTCTTCAAAAGGTGCCATCGCAGCAATCGCTCACGGAGGTCGAGGAGCTGCCCCTGCCTCCGGGTTGGGCCACGCAATACACCTTGCATGGACGAAAGTACTACATCGACCACAATGCTCATACGACTCACTGGAATCATCCCCTGGAGCGGGAGGGTTTGCCTGTGGGATGGAGGCGGGTTGTGTCCAAGCTACATGGCACATACTACGAGAACCAGTACACTGGGCAGTGCCAACGGCAGCATCCGTGCCTGACCTCGTACTATGTTTACACGACATCCGCGGAGCCGCCAAAGGCCATCCGCCCGGAGGCTTCACTCTACGCCCCGCCCACGCATACCCACAACGCTCTAGTGCCGGCGAATCCTTATCTACTCGAGGAAATCCCCAAGTGGCTGGCCGTCTACTCCGAGGCGGACTCTTCAAAGGACCACCTGCTTCAGTTCAACATGTTCAGTCTGCCGGAACTGGAGGGCTTTGATAGCATGCTGGTGCGACTTTTCAAGCAAGAGCTGGGGACCATTGTGGGATTTTATGAGCGCTATCGGTGAGTGGAAGCCCACTTGCTTTGAATTTCCCCTTTTATCATTCTCTGTGTTCTTGTTTTGCTTGCAGTCGCGCTTTGATACTCGAGAAGAATCGGCGGGCCGGCCAGAATCCCAATCAGATTCAGTGACGTAGCAGCAGCAAGTGACGACTGAAACAGACCACATACTCGCCAGCAGCCTGATAGCCTATATCCTGCAATCATTAACTTATTTATCCATCGACTCATTGCGATAATCAGTGCCTTAGACTTACGAAGACTACGAAGAGAGCAGATCAGCGGAGCATCCATTTGACCAATCGAGTGCCTAGTTTTAACGTAGAAATGTGTTACGTTCGATTACCCCCTTTTATTACTGTGAATTGAGCTGCGTTTTTGTTTGTAAAATGTGCAAATTAAACAGGTTTAATGCTCAATTTATTGGCCGGCATCGCTCAGTATGTTCGGTATGTAATCAACTTGTAAGGTGAGCCACCCGCGGTCCGTACCGGGTGATTGCTGCCGGGGTCCGATTCTCTCCAGGAAACAATACCATCAACAATAAGGTCTATAGTGGAGCCGCAGGCGGCCAAGTCTTGCTTGGCTTGGCACATATTTCCGATTCCATGCCAAGTTTTCGATTTGCTTGCAAAAATTTATGCATTTGGCACAAGTGGATCGTCGATCATTCTGCATCGCCAACGCAAAAAAAAACTGAAACAAAGCTCCAATAGAAAGTGAATCTTATAATTTGGTTTGTTTACTCCGACACATTATTTATACTATGGAAGATGGGGTGGTCGTATACCATTTCGTCAAACTTGATTATTCTGAGTCGCCGCACAACATTATCAAACTATAGTATAAAACTTGAGTGCCTTTTATTTATTTACTTTTTTTCTGCAGGTCCATGAAACTGTTTCTTCAGCTGATAACGCCATTCAAAGCTTGTTCTTCTATTTATAGGAAAATGTGGGGAATGTCATTAACATAAGTATGGAACCCAGACTTGGATCTGGGAATGTAAGCTATTAACTGAAAAAATATTTTGAAGAAATGGATATTGAAAAGATTATAAAACCGAAACGACATTACATAAAACGAGGATGGTTTAGTTCTTAGGAATTTCAGTTTTCCGGTTAAAGAGTTAATCCATTTATTGCCATTAGATAGAGTTCTTAGATAGTCCCCTTTAAGTTAACGAAATCTAATATTAGATTTTTATTACTTTTTTTATACAATGACCATTATATTTGAATGGTTTATTATTTTGCTAACAAAAGTAATCCTCATTTTTTGTAATTACTCACTTTTTTTTTTGGAAACTAAAGTACCTGAAGTACCTGAGCTGAAGGGTTCTTAAAGAACAGAAAAAAAAAATATCATAAAATATAAGAGTTTCTGTTGTTGCCTTTGCGTCGACGCCGGCTGCGCGGCGACTGCACGGCTCCACCGTCCACCACCACCCAGTTCCCCAAGCCCTCGAGCTCCATAGCTCCATCCATTATTTATACGGCTCCATTCATGCGCGCGTTCAGTTGCTGGAGAGACGCCATCGGTACCAAATGACATTGCCACCGCCGTTCATTTCAAGCTTAATTGTCAGTTAGGAGTATTGTTTAATTTTGGTTTTAACGCGGGTGAGTGTCGTCCGACGGATGAGTGATGTTTATGACTTGGTAAACACCCAGTTCTGGATGGGTTTTATCGCGGTTTTGGTCGGGATATCTGGAATCAGTCACACACTGCTTTCCCAGCCGCCAGTGAAAGTTCTAATCCGGCTAAAACAGACGCAAAAAAAAAGAAAATAAAAACAAATATTCGATCAGACTCGTGTGTTGAATTATGTATATTTGTTAGACGGGTATTGAAACAGTTGGTTTTCCCAACCTGTTATTATCAGTTTAATAAACTCTGATTACTTACCCAGAAGAACGTTACACGTTTCTACGAAAAGATTTAGAGAGATTTTTGGAAAATGCAGTGCAATAATATTGAGATCAGTGTAGGTTAATTAAGATTCATTTTAAAATAAAAAAATATGAAACTCCTAGAATTTCTTTTTAATTTAATAGACTTAATGAATTGTCTTTCTTATCTGAGAGCTGCATTGCCCAATCTATAGGTCCGAGGTGTACTGCCGCAATAATTCGAAAAAAGCGATTGACACTATCAGGTACTATGTATGGTATTGCTTGAGATAAGCCAGTTCTCACGCGCCTTTATTTAATGCCATGTCACGGTCCTCCCAATGGATCCAATATAACCGTCATATAAAAGTCTGGAATCTTTTGTTTTTACGACTGACCGACAAAGCCTACAGAACAATCATTTCCTGCTGTGACCAAACTACATTATTAGGTATGTGCTCGGATTCGTGGGCCGGGCAAAAAAACAACAAAAAATTGTTCTAATTGCAAAGTTGTAACATTGAGCGAGAATTTTTGAAGGTTGCCCCTCTCCATCGCATAGCAATTTTATCTCAAAAGTAGAGCGAAACACAGGTAGATTGATAAAAAAGTGCCACACATATTTCAGCGAATACTAGAAAGCATTCATTTCAAATGTCAGCGGGAGCTCATAAATTTGCATTTTAAACTCAGCCAGACAACTCCTTTCCCGCAACTCTCCTTTATTGGTGTAAATTGATCAATTGATTTAATTTTCAATTACATCGATACCCTTCAGTTGGCCCGAAGAAAATGCCAGCAGGCCTCAAAACATTCGACTGAATCAGAAAAGCAACAAATCAAGAATGGACCTGGCGTTGGTACTCCTTCTGGTTCTGGCTGCAGGTGAGATTTTCCATCATTTACTCCAGATATGGGATGGGCTAATAAGACGGATTCTTTCACCAACAGCTGGCCTGGGAAATGGACAAACCGGTCGGCTTACCGTCGATTCCCATGACATCACCGTTCTCCTGAACACAAACGAGACATTCGTGGTATATGCCTAGTAAGTTCCAATGGCCAGTTATTAAATCTAATTACATCTTAACCCCAACTATTTAAAATTACAGCGAATTGTTGGAGCAAAATGTGCGAGTTACTCTAAAGACGGATTCGGACGATCATTTGAGACTGGATCCTGACTCTTTTGATTATCCTTCCGGTAGTAATCAGAACCAATCGGTGGTCATAACGGGTCTAAATGCTGGCTATGTCCAAGTGACGGCCTCCAGTGATCAGGAAGCCAATCAGGCGATGTTAGTATTATACATACATTGGCTTAGTTAGTTACCCATATTAAATATTATATCTTCCAGAGTGGATGACGTTTTTCTGAGAGTAACGGTGGCGAAAAATCGAGGCCTTATCTACACTTCGATTGTTTTTGGATGGATTTACTTTGCCGCCTGGTCAGTGTCCTTTTATCCGCAGATCTGGATCAACTACCGTCGCAAATCCGTGGAGGGACTGAACTTTGACTTCCTCACCCTAAACATTGTTGGCTTCACTCTGTACAGCATGTTCAATTGCGGTCTGTACTTTATTTCTGGACTGCAGGACGAGTACGAGGAGCGTCATCCTCGTGGCCTGAATCCGGTGTTGCTTAATGATGTGGTTTTCTCACTGCACGCCATGTTTGCAACCTGTATAACGATAATACAGTGTTTCATTTATGAGGCAAGAATATTTGTCAAAATATTTAACTTTTATTTTAAAATGAAATGTTCATTTTTTTTATTATTCCAGAGGGGACAACAAAGAGTTTCATTTATCGCCTATGGCATTCTGGGCATCTTTGCCGTGGTGGTGGTGGTCTCAGCCGGTCTGGCTGGCGGTGGAGTCATCCACTGGCTTGACTTTTTGTACTACTGCAGTTATGTCAAGCTGACGATCACCATTATTAAGTATGTGCCCCAAGCTTTGATGAACTATCGCAGGAAAAGCACGTCTGGCTGGAGTATTGGTAACATCCTGCTGGATTTCACTGGCGGCACTCTAAGCATGCTTCAGATGATCCTAAATGCTCACAATTATGGTAGGAAAAGGATAACAATATTTGAGCTCTTATATTAAAATGTAAATTCTTTTTCCAGATGATTGGGCTTCATTGTTTGGTGATCCGACCAAGTTCGGTTTGGGTCTATTTTCTGTTCTATTTGATGTGTTCTTTATGCTTCAGCACTATGTGTTTTACAGGTAATATTTGGTTTGTTTTAAAATATTTCTCCGCACAACTTTTGTAAAATAATATTATCAAAACTATTTCCACTGTAAACTTATCATTTTTGTGCTGTTCCTTTGTATATCCTTCAGGCACACCAAAGAGTCCTCGACCTCTGACCTCACCAATGTCACCGAGGCCCAAAATCGAGCTACAGACATTACACCTAGTGAAGAAAATTCTGTGAAATATTAAAGCTTTATAGTCCTTGTGCTAAGAATGCTTTTTTGTACTGTTTTGTAATTGTAAATATATGCCATAGCTACATAAGCCTAATCTACAAAATATTTGAGTTTTATTTTTCAGTAAAAGGGTATGGTTTATTTATAGGACCCGTCGTTCATATGGAAATCTACGCAGATACTCCAGGGCACGTTCTTGGCAACCAGTTTCAGTTATTTGGAACAAAACCAACAGTGAAATTGATTAGTCGCTAAATAAATATTAAAATTGTTGTTTTAAATTCTGGCGCTTTTTATCGAATTATTTTTTTTTCTTATCGATATTTTATAAGATTGTTTGGTTATCGATATTTAGTGGCGTTTTACAGTACTAAACTTTTTAGAAACTTCGCGCACAGTAATAAGCGCAATTCGTTTTCTTGGTTATTTCTTGAAAATATCCATCCAAAAAGAGTTTGACGCATAATTTGGAACATTTGAACCTCGCAAGATGTCTTTGCAAGCATCGTCATCGTTTACGATGATCATCAACCAGTAAGAATCAAGTCGTTTTTCAGAAAGTTGTCAAAAATGAATCCTAATCGTCCCGACAGGAATTCTTGCACCATTTCAAGAACCAACAGCCAAACTTACTTCTTCGACGATCCGTCGGGTGTGGACTTGAGCCCCATCTTCGACAGTGATTTGTTTCCAGTGGAGTCGCCTGTGAACTTCCCTGATGCCAGCGCTCTTTTTGCGTCTAACAGTAACCAATCCAGCTTGAATGAGCTTCAAAATAATTCGGCTGGAATTGTGGCTTTGCCCTCCAGGATATATGTCAGTGATACAGGAACATGGACTGATGTTAACAAAAGCTACCAAACACTCCCCGAACGGTGAGATTTTTAAAAAAACCCGCCCTTGACGATATCCGATATTTGGCTGCACAACTATATCCGATGCGCTGTGACTGGCAAAATCCCACTTCCACGGTCTCTTCCTAGTTTTTACCGCTCTCGTACTTAGATCCTTTTATTGCGTTTTATCCTGATTGTAATTTTAAAGCACTAAATTATTGAAATGTACATTTCCCAGCCAATGTCATGGCACAAAGTCAGGTATTGCAGAATGGTTCCCGGACGTAAACATGCATGAAGCAACACGCATGTACATGCACCATTCACGTCGCGATTTGATTGTATTTGTAGCTAAGATTACTGGATCGCCTTACACACGATTTTTGACTAACTTAAAATGTGGTTCTCCGCAACAGCCACGACTCTGACGAGGAATACCAATCAACGGCCAATGAAGCATCCTTGGGATCGGCCCCGGAGGCAGCATCGGAAGGCATTGAAAAGGCTGTCGCGGACACGGGTGACTTGTGAGTACTTGCATAAAAGTGATCAACGTCTTTAAATCATTAATTTAATCCTCTACAGAACTACCGAGCCGATGGCCTTCCTGCAAGGATTGAATGTGAGTATATTCGGGCAAACCACATGGTTCAACCACTAATGTTTTTCAAATACTTACAGTCCGGAAACCTCATGCAGTTCAGTCAGGTGGGTACCACGTCCTAGAGCATCCTAAACCGTTGCGAGAGATCCGCTTGCACCAGGATGAGCACAAAGCTGGCCACCGTGGAGAAGACATTCATAATCAGGGTCATGTCTAGTTCATACAAACCCAAAGGCTTGATCTTGAATCGACTTAGTGTCACAAATAGGGTGAAATCGTGGACAGATTTTCGAAAGCGGGGGTCTGCGTGCCGCAGGTTCATGTCCTGCAGAAGTGTGCCAGTTCTTTGGGTAGCAATCAACAAGTTGTTGCACAAGTGGGTCAGTAGGGTGATTTCCGCTAGCGAAATGAACAGAAAAACCAGGTTTATCAGTGATCCCAAACCGTCGTATGGTTTTCCGCCAATGAAAGTATCCGCCACGGCGTAGTATAGACTGTAGAATCCAACTGTCATTCCCAATAGGTGACAAATCAGTGACAGGATCATGGAAAGCGACATAGGACTTAGGTATTTTCCGGCATGAACATATATTAACTTGTAGTAGATGGCCAGATTGTCCAGTTCATCGGCCAAGGAGCAAAATCTCTGCATGCGATAGTAGGTGGTGTTCAACTTTAACTGCTCCTCCCTCTGCAATATATTAACTTCTTTAAGAACCGATTCCACACGCAAATTCAGGGCCTTGAGAACTTCCAGGACTACAATCATTGCTCCATAAAAACAATTATTCAATAGGTTCGAGATGACCAACGGAAACAGTCTGTATATGGTCCAAATTAAGCTCAGTTCGGGATGCAGGCGTCGTTGTTGAAGGATAAATGCCACCTCCAAGATGAAGGGGAAGCCAATAGCTTTGATCAAAGCCGTCGAAATAGAAATGTAGAGGGATTTGCTATTGAGGCGAAACTTCCGCAGAGTCTCGAAAAATGGGACGGCACTCATCGTCTTGGCCACATGGTCACTTATCATCATTTGTGTTATAAAGTTAATAACCGCCACTGTGATGTTCATGTAACTGTAGAGCGTGATGGCATCTCGAAGGTTAATCTGACCTTGGTAGTATTCCCTCACAATCTGATGTCCATAGATTAATGTAAATCCAACAGTCCAGAACATGTCATAAGCGAGATATATCCTTGAGAATCTGAACTTCTGACGGCTGCGAGAATAGTATCGGTTGGATAGGAGCCCAAACATTGTCATAAGGGCTACCAGTGTGATTGTTAGGAACTTCACCATGCTACGATGGGTCGAATCGCTGGACATGTTCATCTTGTCGGAACAGTTGATATGGAGCTACTAATAGTGGCCTAATTGTTTTAGTCCTCATCGCGCTGATGCCATCCGGCCAACTGTCAAAAATAAAGACACTATCTGGACACATCGCACATGCCTTGCGGCCAGCTAGAAGGCTAAACATCAACTGCGCATGCGCCCGACTCGGCACTAAACGATAAAATGACCAAAAGTCCCGTGTGACTCAGACTCATATGGGTAGCAATTTCATAAGACTGACATGACGTCACATTCAAGAGAATTCACTTTTACCCAGAGAACTGATTCGCACATTTCGAATATTCTTATCTGGCAGATTAGAAACAAGTTGCATTCTCTTGTGAAAGACAAGAGCAAAACAAAACACCAATTTAGTCAATAACTAGTCAGGCAAAAACATGAAGCTCTACCAGCTCTACGAACGAAAAGTTCGAACTCCATATTAATCCCCTGTTTTTGGTAATTATCTTTTTTATTTTTATATACTTTCCAGCAATCTGTGCTGCGCGAGATGATTCTGCAGGACATCCAGGCTCAGGTCAGCACTCTCCCAAAAATAGAGAAACACAACACTGGTGGCTACAACTTCAGCTTTGACTTGGTAGAGCCACCCAAGTCGGATTGGACCGTCTCTAAAACGCTGAATAAACTATACATCCGAATGAACAAGGTTTTCAACGTAGATATACAATTTAAAGCTAGGATGCCCATTCAGCCGCTGAATCTGCGCGTTTTTCTTTGTTTTGTCAAAGATGTCAGTGGCCCAGTGCTGCGTTGCCAGAATCACCTCAGTGTAGAGCCACGTGAGTCCACTCTTTGGTCTACTAACAAGTCCTTTTAAATATTCGCATTTCCATTTTCAGTTACAGATCACAATGAGAAAGAGCGGGAAAACCTACTGCGGTGCTTGAATCCCAATACCATTTATTGTGGAACAGCTCAGGGCAAAGGTATTTCCGAACGCTATTCCGTTCTAGTTCCTTTGAATGTGTCCCGGTCAGGGAGTCGAAGTGGCGGATACGTGCGTCAGACCCTAGCATTTAATTTTGTATGTCAAAATTCATGTTTTGGTCGAAAGGAGAGCTGCTTGGTCTTTTGTTTGGAGAATGCGAGGTAAAGTAATAAAAAATACATTGAGAGCTATCTATATTATGGAATTATGGTATAATTATTTATTTATGGCTTTTCCCTTTCAGTGGTGATATTGTTGGACAGGACTATTTAAATGTTAAAGTCTGTACGTGCCCGAAACGCGACCACAAACAGGAAGAACGCCAAAAAGGTGCGTTGAAGCGCAAAATTCATGAAAGCGATACTGAGGAGGATGATACGGAGGACCATCCGCCCAAGTCGCGCCGGCTCGCTGAGTCGATGCACATCAAGGAGGAGACCGCAAGTAATGACAGCTATAATGCCACCCACCGAGGACTGCCTCAAAATTGGGATGTGTCTCAAACCGATAATGGAAAATACCAGCTGTCCATTACCGTTCCCAACAAGGAGTGGCTCCTGGACAGCATCGAAGGCATGGTCAAGGAGGCGGCCACTAAAGTGCTGCGCAGTCCGAACAAAGACCGTCTGCGCAGCTATGCCCAAAGTCTTTTAAAACTAAAAAGTAAAATATTTTTATGAATTTCTCTTTAGTAATTGGTATTAACTGATTTAATTTCGTTTTCAGAACGTGCCTATGAGTTGCCATGACCCACTGAGAAGAGTTCAACACCTAAGCTTAAGATCCACGTGATTTATTTAAGACACTAAGAGACATTCATAGAAGTTGTCGGAGCTCGTAGGTTAATGTTTGAGAGCCTTTGTAAATGCGATATTTCAAAATGATAATATTTTTTATGCGGGAAGGAGGAGTAGAATTGGATGGATATTTTGATATTCCAATATGTGACTGTTGGATTTGTATTTAAATGTAAGAAATAAATTCCTGAAAATGAAAATGTGTATCGACCTTCTAGAGGTTAAACCTTCGTTTTCCAATAATGAGTGACTAAGAAGAGCCTCGTGCTGTACGCTTGTGGCAGACCGTACTGTACGTGGAGTACAGTATAGCGCATGCTATGGCCTAGCCATGTGACATGTGTGGCTTGTGCGGTCAATGCTCCTTTTTATCCGGCACGGCTCCGTCTCCGTCTCTGCAAGTCTGCAAATATGTCAAAATCGCTTGGCGCTGCATCTACATATTTTATTTATACTCCTATCTGTGCGTCTTTGGTTTTAGATCGTTGCTTAAAAAACTATCTTAAACGGGGCGCATGCGTTTGCCAACGCTGCACATGTGCGAGGATGCAAAAAAAAATTGCAGTCTAAGATAAAAAAAAAAAAAACAGATGTTGAAATTGCGGTGCAGCTGCAGGCGACTTTTGGATTTTTTGCCACATGCGGCAAGTAGGCAGTAGCTATGTTTACTCTGGTGCTGTTCATTGACCTAGGGCACGGCAATTTTAATATGCCATAATTGTAGTGGAATAGGAATCTCTCCGTGGCCATATTGCATGCAGAAGCGGATGTATCGGCTTCCATTTGGGGCCTTTCCTTTTTCTCTTTGGCTGCTTTACCAGTTTGGCACCACGAAAATGGGTCGACAGAAATGCTCACCAACCCAGCCACATCACTCGATTCTCGTTCGGCGGGTGCCTAACGAAGCAGTTTTGGCTTGAGTTCCATAAAAGCTTTGAGTCAAGTTTTGAGCTTAATGCGGGGTCTTTGAGATACACGGAGAAAAATAGTGTTTTTGGTTAGAGATTCTTAAGGTAATTTCTATAAATATTTTAAAATTGATAGAAAAAGTGATGGATTTTGAAAAATAATTTTAATATTTTTAACTTTAATTTAAGTGGAATTCAGATATATTCTCCCTGTGTACGAGGCATAAATCTCGGAAATACTGCAATAAAATATTATATTAGCTTGTGACCAAACCCAGAGTGGGTGACGTTCAGTAGGTGGCTGCTGATTATGATTCAGCAGTAACTGAGACTCGCGGGAAGCTGTTGGTTCCCAACTTATTCCCCCAAAGGTTACCTATGTTTATGGCCCAAGATAAAGGGAAAGTAAACAGCGCCGATCTCTTATCTTACCATACAACACATAGCACGGGGCCCGGGGAAAACAATGGAATTAAACACGAAAATTAAAAACAGAAAGCCCGGTAGAGACGTCAGGTGAAACCGCGAGAGACTGCAACTCCATTCCGAGTCCACGGCCGATTCGATTCCACTCAAAGGGGCCCACTGCCCACTCAAATCTGCAGTCGTAGATACAAACCAGATAGCGACGAGCGATCTTCACTCGATGTGGAATGAGTCGGTTGAAAGCTGGCGCGGCCCAAGTATTGTAGTTTGGCTTTTAGATTCGCATTCGGTTGTTGGCGTTGGCAGTTGACGTTGTCGTTCCCGTATTAGTGCCCGATCTTCGTTTTGCCGGCACGTCGCGTTGCAGCTGTTTGGAGTCGATTTAAATAGCCATATAAGCCATATACGCGACGACCGCGAAAATATCTTGGCTGAAAACGAACCGTTTTACCTCGTTTTTGTGAGTGTCGGTGTGTGTATGGTGGAGCTGCTGCAGTGATGGTGGAGACAGCTACAACCACGACTATAACGCGTACCACCACCCAGGTGCCGGCGGGTTCTGGAACAGTGACTCCAACTCCGGCTACCTCTACGGCCACGCCCACCGCCGCCCAGGTTGCAGCGCAGGCGCAGCGGAATGACGAAACCACTCGAGCCATCTTTAACTTAAAAATCATCGTATTTGTCTTGCTGCTGCCCCTGATTCTGTTTGCTGTCCTGCTCAAGCATCTTTTGGATTACCTGTTTGCTTTGGGCTTGAAGGAAAAGGATGTCAGTGGCAAGGTGGCACTGGTAAGCTCACATTCGACAGATGGTATCTGAGAGATACAAACTTTTTGGTGGCGACACTGCAGCGCAACGAAACGAAACGTCACGCACTTTTCTTTTCCAGTGACGGCCCACCACCAATTCCACTCCCACCTTTGGCCCACTCTCACCACAGCGTTTTCCAAACCGCTTTTTTCCCATTTATTTTTTTATTATTATTTTTTTTTGTGTCATCTAGAGAGGGTGCGGCCAATGATCGGGGTATTACTTGAGTAAATATTTATGCGTTTGGCACCAGCTCATTGGATTGGTTGGCCAACTGTTTGGGATTTGTGGTTACTTCAGCTAATGTGGCATCATTTCCATGTAAATATACCCTCTGTCCGAGTGTAATTAAATTTCGAAATAATCATGTTTCCCTCATCGCGGCCCATTAATCGCATATGGACAGTCTGACACTGATCGGAGGAGGCGCGCACATCGCGCTCTAGTTAAGAAAAAGTCAATTGGCGGTCGTCTTCGGTCAAGGTTTAAGTGAGTAGGTGACAGTCTGGCGACTGGAGATGATGCGATGCAACGAACCTGATCGAATTTTTCGGGCTTCATAAGCATTCCATTCCATTCTCGGCTAAGACGTGGGCAGCACACGTAGCGTATTAATGAGTCATTATAGCTCGATTTTTATTTTAGTCTCAACTTTTACGATTGTTCTCTCAGATAGGAGTACTCCAAACACAGTTGCACATATCACGAGATAAAGATACACGCTTTCGGCCGAGTCTACAGTGGAGTAATGTAAGGGAAAACTCTCAGGCTAGTTGTGAGAAGCGACTTAATTACCAGATGAACTTAACAAGATAATTTTGATTGTTTTGACTAGATTTAGGGATCCCCCGGGTAATCGGCGCCCCTGCCAGCCGCAAACTGGTTTTGCGTCGCAAAATACACAATAAGACAAACCGAAAGGCGCAAAAATGCAAAGCTTAGGAACTTCACTTTTGTTTTCAGTCCGAACACGATCGGTGACGTTTGCTGCCGACTGGAATGTAAACAAAAAACGGCTTCGGCAAGGGCTGGGAGAAGAATGTGTCTCCAGCATGCGGCGCCGCCGGGTATCTGACAGATGCGTAGATAAAAAACAAATGCTAGTACTAGTTAATTTGCATATGATATTGAAATTCTTCAGCCATGCTATAACCACCAAAGTGACTACAAAAACAACTGCGCACTGCCATGTGCCGATGACATGTTATTGTTTTCAAACATTTTTTTTGAACGAACGTGCCAAAGTTTTGGTTTGCATCACAATCATACAATCGAAGCACCCCCTACCGACTGAGGTCACTCAAATTTCGGTTTAATTACGGTCAAAAGTCATTCAATTGTGCCTGAGAGGGTTGGCCTACCGGGCGTATGAGTAATGTCATTCATTCAACTACCGCCGCTACATAATTGCTGGTAAATGGGCTTTTTGTTCAATGCAAGGCGCATTAGCCCCAGTTGATTGTTTGTAAATTAAGCTAATTAATTTGTATAATTGTAATGAGAGTAAACTGTGATTTCATCTTTCTTATCTCACAGGTGACCGGCGGGGGCAGTGGCCTGGGTCGCGAGATCTGCCTGGAGCTGGCGCGGCGGGGCTGTAAACTGGCAGTGGTGGATGTCAACTCCAAGGGCTGCTATGAAACAGTGGAGCTACTCTCCAAGATTCCCCGTTGTGTGGCCAAGGCCTACAAGGTTACATCCAACTAAAACTATACTTTTTCTTTTAAAACTAAATTTTGTTTTTTTCTTAAACAGAACGATGTCTCATCGCCTCGGGAACTGCAACTAATGGCTGCCAAGGTAGAGAAGGAACTGGGTCCAGTTGATATCCTTGTCAATAATGCCTCCCTCATGCCCATGACTTCCACGCCGTCTCTAAAAAGCGATGAAATAGATACTATTCTTCAACTTAATCTTGGCTCTTATATTATGGTAAGACTTTTTATAGATGTATGTATTTATTTTCATATGAAGGTAAGAGTATGAAGCCTTCTCATATTTAAGAGGAGGTTTTACATAAATTGCTTTCCACTTATCTTATATTGATCCTATTTTTTGAAGCAAATTCCCATTTGAGCTTAAAATAAAGTACCTCTTTACAATCAACTACAAACAAACTATAGAAATTTAGTGATTGCTAGTTTCTGATGTATTGATGATTTTTCAATTTTAATTGCAGACCACCAAGGAGTTCCTTCCCAAGATGATTACCCGGAAATCAGGTCACCTGGTGGCGGTAAATGCTTTGGCAGGTAACTTTTGGCTTTGTATGAGTTTTTAAGTCCATCACTCATTCTGAAAATTATTATGTTACAGGTCTAGTGCCCCTGCCAGGAGCTGGCATCTACACGGCCACCAAATATGGAATCGAGGGCTTCATGGAGTCGCTGCGGGCGGAACTGCGTCTCTCGGACTGCGACTATGTCCGCACCACTGTGGCCAATGCCTACCTTATGCGGACTAGTGGCGATCTGCCTCTCCTAAGCGATGCGGGGTGAGAACTCTTCAAAGATGAACCAATCCTCTTGCTCATCCAAAATGTCCCTTTAGCGTGGCGAAAAGCTATCCCGGCCTGTCGACGCCGTATGTGGCGGAGAAAATAGTCAAGGGCGTGCTGCTGAACGAGCGCATGGTGTACGTGCCAAAAATATTTGCACTCAGTGTATGGCTGCTCAGGTGAGAATTAAATTAGCCACGGTGCCTGATGATTATTTCTAACGATTATTATTGTTTTCCCTCCCCATCAGATTGCTGCCAACCAAGTGGCAGGACTATATGCTACTGCGCTTCTACCACTTCGACGTGCGCAGCTCCCACCTGTTCTACTGGAAGTGAGGTGGGATAGGACCAGAGCCCTCATTCAGCAGAAACCCCATCCAGCCCATCCCAGGAGCATTTAAGCGGAAAGCGCTTGTTTGTTTTCCCCTTGCAGTTCTTAACTTAACTGTTGCTTACACTGAGTGTACATGTTTAGCTATTTATATGAATCTTTAACATAAAGTAAATTTATTTTCCTAACAAGTAAAGAAAATTACAGTTTCAGCTTTTGGAAAATTTAATTTAGAGGTCAGTTTCGAGTGAAGACAAATACTAATATTGAAATGTTTTTGTGGAAATATAATATTTAATTTTTATTCGATTTTATAGCCATATTTTTTCTTAGCCTAAGCCCCTGACTGTAGCACTTCTTCTGCAACTCCTGGACGCAAGATCTACGTTCATTGTGCCAGGTATAGTTCCAAGGACATCGGTGGATGAGCTTGTACCCATTGGAGCAGTAGTAAAAATATGCACAGTTGCGAGGATGTGGCATGAATCCATACACTCCGGTTGTACAGTTGGTGATTATTTCTGGCGATTGCCTTCGGCTGCAGGATGCTAGCTGGGCAGGAGTGCAGGCTTTCGGAATACCAGCCCCTTCATAACAAACCATATATGGATAGCACGGACCGGCATTCGAAAGGTTTCTCAGGGTTATGGCCAAGGGTTGGGTTGTTTTCACAGCCGACGTGGGCTTGGACATTGGGGACCTGGTTGTGGTTGTGGAAATTTTGATACCAGGGGCCTGGGATTGACATCTTTTAACCAGTTTCTGATCCACACAACGATCCAGCTGGTCATCGTAAAAATTACCTGCCAGACACTCCGCCTCGAAGGAGCCAGGCCCGGCGCAGTATATGTATTTGGAGCAGTTACTTAAGCTGGCTACGTAAGCGCCTATTTTCGGGGCACTGGCGCATTCTTTAAACTCCACTGATAAAGTACCATGACCCATAAAACAGGTCAGTATTGTGATGGCTAACCATCTTAGAGTTTTATCCATTTTGAGGCACCCTTTCGCTGCGATCACATCTCAAGACTGAACTCAAGGTTCGGGTGTCTTTGAATATTTTTGCATGTGCTTTGAAATGATAAAGAGATGGCATGTTTCAGCATCGATTATTGCGTGGTTATCGCACTCTAGATACGGTTAATGAGTTTCAGAATTACGGGGAGACTGGCGGGCCGGGAGCCCGTAGCCGGGAGTGATGCGGTATGCCGGCAATTTGCGATTTCGTAGCCTACTTCGCAGCAGCGACGGCCGCAGATTTAATGACCAGGCCGCACCGCAGCACAATTCTCGGATGGATTCAGTTCGACGCGCTTGGCGCTCAGCGCTCAATAAAAATTGAAAATGCACTCAATACGCAATTAAGTGTCGCCACTTCCGCCGGGACAAACGGCGGACAGCCATCGATACACACGCAAATACGCGTATGTGTGTGCACAATCATGGCCATTCATCGCCCTCATCATGGACGCGGACATGGACATTGGTCGTGGCTTGTCGGAGTTAAACGATAGCCATCGATTTAATATTCGATGAGATATTCATAACTTGCAATTAGGTTTGGCGGCTCTGCCTCACTTTTCCAGCAATTTCGTTCCGTGCCCGATTAATGAAGAATTACCACGGCAAATGGCAGGGATTTCTCCGGCGTATGCTGGTCCATCTGTCGCATTAACATTATAGTCAGCAATGCCATCGGCATTGTGCAGTGCAAATTAAAATTTAATTAATTGTTAATTAAACGCAGACGAGTGCCAGTTGTTCCAGCAGCTTATGTGGCATATTTTTCGGCTTTCGACAACAGGTTATATCGGATTGAATATCTTTTTATATGTTTATCTTCAGATGCTCCGCGACCCACAAACAAAAAAAAATAAAGACAATGAAGCGAAAACAAAACAGAAAAAAACGACCCCATATGGTGATGACGACGAGTCAAGTGATTAAGTGCACGCTGAAATCTTCAAATGCAACATGTGCATCAGCCCCCGGAGAAAATTCTAATTACAATTATGGAGCCGGAGACCCCCAGCACCTGCACTCACTTCAATGCGCAGGCGCAGCGGCATCAGCAGCATCGCCCGATAAAAATAGCCCACTAATTATTTGTGCGCTAGGGTTACAGTTCCTCTCATAAAAAACAAACAAACTTCACTGTCGGCCTTTGGTTTTATGGATATTTTGTGCCCCCGCGAAGTTTTTCGGCACGACTGTTCCTTCTACTTGAATTTGTATCCACAACTTGTCCATTGGGCCCTTTGCCTATGCCATGGAATTGTGATCTCCGCACCCATCATGGAATTCTTGGTCCTCCGAATCGATTAGGTGCCTTAGCTCCAGAAGCACTCGCTCCGTGCGCTCTTCCAACCGATCCAGAGCTCCGTTGAGGGCGTCCAGATTGGAGTTGACACTGGCCATCAGACGCTCCGAGTTGTTGGTCAGAGCCATAATATCTTCAAAGGTGCGAGTAGGTTGACCTGCACCCGCAGTGACCCTAGCCATCTCCACTGGGCCTTGCTCCTCGGTGCTTTCCATTAGAGATGTCCAGGCAGGCAAAAGAACCCCGGATTATCTTAAATTTGAAATGTCCAGTATACAAAGGCCTTCAGTGCTGACACATAACTACAGGGTTCTTTGTGGAAGCATAGGAAAAACTTTGCCCAAAGTTATCCATTGTTTAGTAAAAAATTTAATTTAATTTATGATTGTTGACTTTTACACAAACTCCCCCTGGTCATTATTGCTTTTAATAAAATGTGATAGTTAAAGGTCATGGGGTATATTGGTTGACAAAAAGAGATAACTAATATTTGATTAAAATACAAACATATTTTATTTAGGTTTAAGATTTTCTTTATCAACCATACTACTTTAAAATGATAATAAAATATACTGAAAGTCTTTAGCTAATTAATTTTCTAAATTATGGACTTAAGTACGCTTAAAAGCTTTGAAAATGTTAAAGGGTACTCCAGATTTCTGTTTGCCGCAAATTAAAACCTTTGTTTATTTTGCCCTTTTATTATTTTTGTTGTGGACTAGCTTTTACAAAAAGCATCTCTTGTTCATTTCATTAAATCCATTTACAAAATGGCTTTGTCCATTATTTATACGTATCAATTATAAATTGAGCCCTGGTCCTGCAATATTCATATTCACTTGTCAAAATGTCAACTCAAAATAGAATATTTATGCATTTTTATGTGTGCGTATCGGTCCATGATTTGTTTGCGTTATGCTCTTTCATTTCAAGAACTCTATGTATATCGGCATAAAAACCAAATAAAAAAAACTAAAAACGTGAAAAGGGGAAAATGACAATTCAGTTTATAAATACACGCCGGCAACCGAAGTTAAAATCAATTTTTTTGGCCCCATACTGCGGTGGTCGCGTTTCGTTTTCGGGTGGTGTGGGGCAACCGAGTGAAGCGAGCTCCTCCTTCCTATTCAGCTTGCCGCAAAACAAGGTGCCTCAATTTATTTTTAATTGAAGGCAAATTGAGGCAATCGCCAAGCTGATAGAATGGAGTTGGCTGTTGCGGTTGTCCGACGATGTGGTCTCTTCCTGTTAATAACTGGAAAAGGCTACGCCTGTCAAGCCGCAGTTCTTCCTATTGCAAGTGCATTTTCAACTTAATGAAATTTCGCTCCAAGTGACTGGCAGCATAGATGTGTCAGGAGAGTACCACAGAAAGCACATGACAATGTCCGGACTCCGAAGTCCTGCCTCCGAACTTCCTGCCACAAACACAAGCCATTAACCAACCTGAGCCAGACCAAGGAGGCCTTTCGAAGACGGCTCTCTTTTTGGTTGCCCAAAATCTGCTATTATTCTCATTAAGCAGGCTTTTGTTGCCGGACCTCGCATGGACGAGTATGCTAAGGACTTGTAAAGGCGTTTGCATATTCATTTTTCTTACCAATATACTGCATTTTGGTTGCTGGTCTTGTTGTTTGCATGGCTTTTCAGGGATTTGCTGGGATCTGCTTGTGAAGCTATCATCGGTTTGGTTATTGAATTTCATGCTCAGTCTCCACAACCTCTAGTTTCACCACTAACTTGTTGCCATGGTTGTCATAACCTTTTTACAAGCACATTTTCAATGCATTTTGGTTTCTGGTTGTCGTCATTAGTTGGAAGCGCCTAGTTTGCCTCGTTTGTTTGTCGAAAGTTGTCGGAAGCATTGCTGCCTCTGCTCCTGTTGTTGCATTGTCATCAAGCTGATCATGTTGCTGTTGCAATTGCTTTTTACATTGTTTCGCCTAAATAGAGACCTAAAATTTATATGTGTGACCTGTTTACATGGGCATGAGATGTCTGAACCACAATTTCCAGTGTGGCGGTGGTAGTGGTACAGTATCGGACATTGTGTATACGCCACGTCGGCTGACTAAGTCGAGGGCTGGTCGAGCTGTTCACTAGCCTTCACTGGCTGTGAGAAGGTTCCATGACAAAGTCCCTTCCCTTCTATATGCGGAGCGTATCCCGCCCGAAGGACTCAGGGACACCATTGCTTAGGCAGTACATGTGTGCGTCGCTTCGTTGCCTGTTATTGTTTTCCAACTTTTCACTTTGGTTATGAAATGTCCAGCGCTGCAGTCACTTGCACGTTTGGCTCTATATCGTCCTTGCCCGTGCTGTTGACCACAGAGGACAACGGGAACTTTTTGACCAAGCTAAGCTGCCATGTTCGTGTTCCTTTTGGGATGCACTGGCAGAAAAAATCCCTAGGAACTAGAAATAACTATTTTGAATGGCTCTAGCTATCAATAGAAATAATAAATGCATATGTATGTCTACCTTATAAAGTATTTGGAAACTTATATGATATCCTAAATTATCGTCATTACTTTCCTTGCAGTGCAAGGATGTGTTTGTTTGAGTATGCTGTTATGCTTATATCCTGCGGCTTAAGCATTTGTTGTTTTACAACGTTTCAGTCTGTTTGCCAAGTAAATAAAAGCTGTTAACTAGTTTTTGCACACCACGACGAAAACTGGTAGGGGTAGGGGCTTTCTAACACGTGCTGGACAATTTTTTGCTCCACTTGGCCTCTTCTAAACGCTTTTGTGCGTAGCACTCGTGTATGAGCAATTATTTAATGCCGTCCGCCTTGTCGGTCCTTTCGTCCTTTTGTCATTGTTGTCTTTGGGCCGTAGTGTTGCCGCTTTACCGGCTCCTATTTGACTGGCATTGTCTATGCCTTGGCCCACTCGTCCAAGTCAGTTGCAGCCGTCTTGTCGGCTGCCCCTTTTGTGTCTCTCATTTATTTGTGTTTATCCTTTCGCTTTTAATTGCGGCTCCGTCCTACTCCCTCGCTCCTTTGTGTAATTACAAGTGTTTGTTGTGTAAATAATAGCGTTAGCTGCCTGGGCCGAGGACCATCGTTGACGCATCGTTTGCATGCTCAGTTAATGCCGTGCATCAGGGCTCCTGCCATTGTCCTTGCCCCATGTTGCTCGCCTGGTCCCTGTCTCTGTATCTGTGTTTGGTATCTGTGTGCAAATGTATCTGTCTGTGGCATGGAAAATTAATTACGAGAATTAAGCAGCGCAACGCCCGATCTGTCGCATTGACACAGGTGTTGGCTGGTTGACGTAACGTATTTTCCTTAGATAATTCCCATAGAACTCGACAGCCATGTGCTGCACCTTGAACCCAAAGGCAAACACAAGTCATTAATGCACAGGAAAAAATAGTGTATGTCTATTAAATACATTTATTGCTCTATAAAATATATAAAAATTAAATCATCTATAAATTACTATAAAAAAACTAAGTATTTTTTAAACCACATAAGGATTGTTTAAGCTAAAAAAATAAATATTCGCCTTTCTATTAATTTTTTTGTGTATCAATTGCACTATTCTAGAGGATGTGGCATTAATTCATTCCCTTTGAGGCACTTCCATGTGGTGCCCATTAGCCCAGTGCCACGCCCCCAACGAGCAGCAAATGCCAGCGAACCATGCGACGCCAAAAATTTCCATTTCGTTGCTTGAACCGTGCATAAATATGTCAATAAGGATTATCCCATCCGGCGGTAGTAAAATTTTGGGGAGCCATAAAAAAAGGGGCTCACTCGGGATCGCTGCCTTGGTATTGATGTTGGAAAACCTCAGCTAAATAAATATCTGGCAACGGGAGCAAGAAATGCAATTTGATTATCCTGGCAACCTGCCGCATCCGTTCGCCGACTGTTAAATTATGACATGCAACTGTCAGTGCGGGTTCAAGTGGCTTTAGGATGGGCGAGGATATGAATGTGGATGCTGCTGGCAGGCGTGAGAAACTGTTATCCTGGCACCTAAACAAACACATCCGTGTGCCTGGGATGCAGTAGCTGCCAGTGTCCTGACGGGTGTCGGATTGCAGAATATGTTCGATTCTTGAGACTCTTGCGCATAACACGACCAGCTAATTTATTTACTTTACCGACTCGCTGTACTTGTTGCATCCACACTGTAAACTGAAACATGTGTTCAAGGATCATAATCGAAATGGCCTGTTATCCTGGGTTGTCTCATTAAGACCTATGCTGGTAGCTGCTGTTGTTGTTACGGCTCATTCTACTTCTGCTGCTGCTGCGGTAGCACTTCAGATTGGTGTTGACAGTCGTGTTGAGAAATTGCCTCGATTCCCCGCCTTCCTGTGCCCCTTTACTTTTTTACAAGGGTTCTAAGCTCTAAGTGCTCGACACGCTAATGTGAAATATTAGAAAAATAATGGAAAAAATGTAGAAGCCATCGAGATTAACGCGTTTGAGCTCTCAAACCCCTTGACGCTCTTTCCACTTTCCTCTGCCAGCTGCAGCATGCCATTGCCTCTTCCCCCTCAGTACCGTGTTTTATCCTTTGCCGTGGGAAACTCTGGCGCTCAGGTTTAACCAGCTCTAATCCTTTACCTTAAGTACTTTTCACGTTTTTCCGGTGTTGGTGGATAGTACTGCGCACTATCAGTGTTGTTGCCTTAGCTATTTTTAAAGTTAGCATAGTTATATAGTGGCTATATAGTTAATCTACAAGGTAAACAAAATATTTACATATATATGACTATTTATTTAAATGTGAAAAACCTGGAATATCATCTTAAATGAATCTTAATCATATTAAATGAACATGTTAAAACCAGATTTGTAGGAATACCTAATGAAAACTTGTTAACTTTTATAAAATAAATGCTTATAACATATGGTTATAAATATATACACTGGATATAAAAGCTAGAGGTTTTATCGCAATCAAATAATAGTTGACTATAGCCATGTATACTTGTTGCTGCCTCTTTTAAGCTGTATTATCATCCCTTAATTATGGCTTTTTGTAGCAGTTGGGGGACCTAGGTTACTCGATTAGCCACCAGCTCTTTTTAAAGGTCACTTGAGCTTGAGTGTTGTTGAGGCAGCTTCGAGTGGCCCGGAGTTTGTGACAATTAAAAGGGTCACCACGGCGTGGCATGAATCTCCTTAGCTTGTGACTGCGAATAAAATGATTGGGGCACCCGAATTCCAAGTGTTCTCCGTGCCTCGAAATTCCCAGACGCCTGCCACATAAATCATCGAAGCTCAATAGCCCAAAAAAAGCCGCATGCAAAGCAACACCACGTGCATGAAGTGTGACCCGATTTCGGAGCAATTTCTTAAATAAATACAAAATTGCATCACGTGCAGCTCAGAGAAAAATGCAAAAAAAAGGATAAAAACCAGCAAGCGAGGTTCGGAATTGTGCCAAAAAATGTGCAGATGTACATAAAAAGCGACTCAGAAGTTGCATATGTAGAGCCATAGAGTTGGCATAGGCAGAGAAAAAAACTCTACAGAAATTTATAATTAAGATTATATTTTAAAATTTTAAAGTAAATAAATACATTTTTGTTTAAATTTAAAGGTATTCTATTCTACTTCAAAGTTTAAACATCTTAACCTCCGATAAAGTGCAAGGGTAGGTTTCATTTGCCGCTTAGCGAGGTCGGAGTAAAACTTGAGCTCAGGCAGCGATCGACACATGCCCTCGAGTGCGTCAAGTGCAATAAATTGAAACGCAAACCAAAGTGTCCCCATTGAAGGGCGAGAGGGCAGTGAGAAGGCAGGAGCACCTTGCCGATCTAGAACTCTATTAAAATGCCATTGCCAGAGTGAGAAGGAGGAAAGACAGCAGCGTAACCTATAGGCCATTTATACATTCTAACCAACCGACTCCTAAATACTCTAACAGCATTTAAAAAAAAAAATAAAATGGGTATTATCTTTTAGATTAGTTCATTATTTTTAATATCTTTTGAGGATGAACTATAATATATTTTATTTATATTAGTATGACCTACAAGCTGCATCCAAAAATCTATGGTCTTACATTGAGGAAAATAAACTGAATATGAAATATACATTTTCCACGATTCTCGTTTTTGTGTCGCGCTCTGTTATTTTTAACTAAAACCACAGCCGGCACAGCTCCATCTATATTTTTTGTTTACCCCTAGCCCCCTGATATATGAAATTATCCTTTGGCTGCCTCTATTTTCCATTCCTATGTGTTCGTATATGTGCTTCATTTTTTTTGTGTCGTTTATGGGAATCCACTTTATTGTCAGAAAATCATTTTTTCGTTGGCATCTCTTGATGTTTTTTTGTGTCTTTTTTATTGAGCTCCAGCTCGGAATATTTGTATATATGCCGAGGTATATGTACTTTTCATGTACCTTGGTGGCTGTTCTACAATTGTAGTCTCTTTGCTGGTTTTTGTAGTTCACAAAAAATTGCTTTTATTTATTACTAATGGCCTGGCTCGGGTTGAGCGTGTTGTTATTGGAAGTGCTGTTGTTATTTTTGTAGTTTCTGCTGCTGTGCATATTGAACATTACTTACCGCAACCGGCACAGAATTGGGACCCGGCCTGGGACAGGGACCGCGGGCTTGTCTCATCTGTGCAGGAGGTGACTTTTCTATTTGTTTGCCGGGGTTGCCTTCGTTTCAGCTTGTCACTTCGGAGTTCATGAATAAATGCTTATAAAGACACGGCTAATAGCCGAGCTCAGTTAACCGGGTCAGTGAGAAATAAATTCGAATTCATTGCGATCTTTTCAGAAAGCCAGTTTTGCTTTTGGCTTGCAGTCGATCGCTGCTTGCGTTTGGCGATCAAAGCGTTTTCGCAACTCTCGCGACTCGGACGTTTCTTAAATCAGCGGAAGGGAAAATGTCGGAAGCGGTGCGAGATGCTCTGGTGAAGCTCAAAGCTCAAATCGGTGTAATTGGCCTAGCAGCTCTCACGCCACTGCTCGTTTTGGCCGCTATTTTGCAAAAGCTCTTCGCCACGATCTTCTGCTGCCAATCGCCGAAGAGTATTTTGGGAGAAGTGGCTGTGGTGAGTTATTTTTACTCAAAAGAAGTTCAAAACAAAATAGTTTTTTAAACAAAATAGTACATATTACAATATACAACAATCTAGTTCTAAAATAACAATTCATACAAGCTTATACCAGTAATAAGGTTAAAAAACAAGTCTTGAAACTTACTCACCTTAGTCAGTAATTAGAGGCTATTCCATAAAAATAGTAGTTTCATCAAGAGCCTTTATTGTGGATATTAAAATTTTAATTTTGATAATAGCAACATTCTTTAAAGTACCTATTACCAATGTTTTAATGACAATTCAATTGTGGAATATGCACAAAATTTAAATAACGAAATGTGTTAAAAATTCGACTAAAAAAAGGGTAATGGACTGGTTAAAAAATACAAATAATAAATAACATTAAATGTCCCACGCGACAACTGGAGCAATGCACCCAAATTTCTCACCCTAACAAATTGGAATAAATTAATACGAAACTCAGGTAAATACTTTTACAAGGAAAAGGTTCTTTTAAAAGGTTAGGACTTGTATTAGGTATTAATTCATTGATTTTAATTTCCTTATTTTATTTAATTTATTTAGAAACTTTTTTTTAATTACACGGTCCAGTTCTAACGATTATTGCAAATTGCAATAAAATTATTAAGGTTACAGGTGGTGGCCATGGACTGGGAAGAGCTATTTGCCTAGAGTTGGCCCACAAAGGCTGCAACGTTGCCGTGGTGGACATAAATCTTTCCGGAGCCGAGGCCACTGTTAAGCAGATCCAGGACAGCTATCAGGTTCGCGCCAAGGCCTACAAGGTAAAATAATGCAGAATATTGTGAAATGAATTAACTCATTAACTCATGAATTAAGGGGAGGGTAAGGTCAAATCATGCGAAAAAAGCCATGTTTTTGTAATTTTTTTCCTGACGACACAGTTAAAATTTAATTATTCAACCAACGGTATATTAAAGTATGACATTAGAAGAATGTTTTATCAAATTTTTACAAAAAAATATTTAAAAATATGGCAATGGTAGCAATTGTCCGGACGTGTCGCCAAAAAAAGTTGAATTGCGGTGCCCCTCATAACTCGGTGCTGGATCATTTGTAATCAAAAAATGAAAATTCATTCGTTAGATAATAGTTCGCCCCAGGTAACGCTGTAAAGGTTTTTTGAAAATTGCAATTTTTTAATTTATTTGAAGACTTTGAAGTGAAAAACTCAATATTTTGGGAAAAAATCGGTTAATTTGTCATTGCGAAATCAAGATTATGAACAAAAAAAAAAAAAACTCGACAGCGTTACCTCGTAAAATATGTACAAAAATAGTGTTTAAAATTTCAAAAGGATCGGTGCAGTAGTTTTGAAGTTATGAGGGGCACCGACTTTGAAAACGTGAGTTGTGGGAAAAACGCTTAAAAGTTTTAAACACAAAACAAATCCAGTGTAAAACGTTTACAAGCAACTTCATCAATAACTAATAACTTCGTCAATTTTTCTTTAATTGACTTGAAATTTTGACACAATATTCTTCAAATATTATGCATTCAATTTAAAAAATAAAAAAAAAATTAAAAAAAAAAATTTTTAATACCTTACCCTCCCCTTAACTCATATCTTCAACCTGCTATAATAGGCAAATGTCACTTCCTATAAAGAAATTGTTGAGCTAAACACCCAGGTGGTTCGTGATCTGGGACCGGTAACAGTACTTGTGAACAATGCCGGTGTATTGCTGCTCCGAAAACCATTGAACCCTGACCCCGCAGATGTCCAGCTCATGATGGATGTAAATCTAACTTCGCATTTTTGGGTAAGTTAGTAAAAACTTTATAAAGTAATAAGAGACATCGCCGCCAAAGCTTCAAAATAAAAATCTTAACTTTTTTATTGCTTTTTAAGTGTTTCTCTTTTTAATTAGCTACAAGGTCAACAGAAGTTGAACTATTATATGGTTCATATTTTTTTAATTGTTTAAAATTATGTGTGAATATTTGCTTGGTGGCAATTACACTTTTTTAGTAGTAGATTACGCTTTCTGTGTTCTTTTTTATTGTTAAAAATAATTAGTAATAACAATAAATACACAATTAATCAATAATCAAACATTTTTACCCACCAGACCAAAGCTGTTTTCCTGCCAAAAATGAAAGAGCTACGACGGGGCTTCATAGTAACTATCGCCTCATTAGCTGGTAAGATATATTTTTCCTAATCCTGAAATAACTCTTAATTCCTAAATAACTTTCCTAAATTACTAGCCCTTTTCCCGCTGGCCTATAGTTCAACTTACGCATCCAGCAAATCTGGAGCTATGGCTCACATGAGGGCGCTGCGCTTGGAACTGGCTCTGGAGAAACAGAAGAACATCAAGGTGACTACCGTGTTCCCCACATTCCTGCGCACCAATGACGAGGTTAGGGAGCTTAGCAACAACATCGGAGTCCGAAGTTTCTATCCTCTGATCAGCGGCGAGGAGGTTGCCCAACGGGTCGTTTCCGGGATGCTGAGGGGCGAGAGTGAGATTCACCTGCCAGGGCTGACCTGTATCTTGTACAGATTGCTCCTGGTCCTGCCCGCTGATTGGCAGGATTTGGCAGTTCGGGTTCTTGGGCGTCGTGTGTTTAATTCTTTCCGCGAGATACAATCATAAGATTAATAGAAAATTTTAAGATTTTGGGACAATAAAATAATAGATTCGATCGGGAGGAGAAAGATGAACTCTTAAATACATTCCATTAAAATCCTATTAAATATACTTTTGCAACCGACTGACCAGGACACTCGGCCACAGGCCAGGGACTTTTGTCTTGTCAACGGGCTGTGTTCATGTGTTTTTCATTTAATTTCTGCCAGCCGGCATGGCTTTAATTTTGCTGCTCAGAGTGTCCGGTCTGGTGTCCGGATCTCCACTGCTTCGATGTCTGCTTTTGTCAGCTGGCAGGGGGCTGGTGCAAAGTGGGCGGTGGGATTGCAGCGACATGCAATCAACTTGTCAGCAGACGCAGCCTCCTTTCCACCTCGTCCGTACTGAATCTCATTATGCAACTTTTATGGGGTCATTGGAGTTGCGTGATTTATATATTTTGCAAAATTAAAAAAATTTTAGCAACGGATTTAAAAAGTTCATGTTCTTATGTTTTATGCTTTTACTTTTCTTGAATTTCGGGTAGACTGACTCGAATGTATTTGTCCCCATTCGTTTTAATATTCAGGGTTTTGAGAGCAATTTTGGCCAGAGTGCATATGGCATATATGCCAAAGGAACACCCCAACGTTTTTGCTGCCTCAAACGAAATTGTTGTCTAATAGGGTCGAGTGAGGGCCATTAAAAGAGAGTTGCTCAGGGAAACTATTTCGGTTAAAATGATTCCTTGCTGAAAGGGAAAGAAATATTGTATATGCATGGTTTTGTTCACCATGACAGTTTCGCTGGCGTTTTTGCTTTGTTCCTTTATCTTTATGCTGGCAAAATTAATGCAACGCATTAAGAGAAATATTGCAACAGCGGCAGAGGACTTCTTCATTTTTCTTATTTTTTATTTAATTTTTTGTTGTACAGTGCGAGCTTTTCACAGACATACACAGAATTTCTTGCATATTTTCACGTTCTGCTCTGCACGCGCTTTTCCTCCTTTTTTTCTTCTTCATCTTCCTGGCGCTTTTATAATACTCTTATAGAGAGTATAACGATATAGTATAAGGTCCAGTATAGAAGTGAAGAATACATATATATATCCTTAATTAACAACGGAACGTAAAATGACGAATGTAGAAGAAATCCAGGTGATGCTTTTGGAGAAACCCAACTAATACTTCCTGAAAGGAAACCTTCCACCATATCTCTTATTTTAAGATTTGTAATATGGTTTTAGAGACGAATTTAGGCCTACCTAACCGTTCTAAAACCCGACTATAAATTCTTTCTGTTTTAAAACCGTGCCATAACTTTTGTTTAACTGTATATTTATAAGGGTATATAACCTTCGTTCCCGACCAAAATGTATCTTTCTTTTCTTGTTTTATTTATGCTATCACAGCAACCTGAAATGCTTTAGCCACACTCGCACACAAAGACACACTTGCATAAGGATGGTTGCCATGGCAGGACAGAATTTTCTTCCTGCTGCATCTGCTTTTTCTTTCAGAGTTCATCCAGGACATCATGGGCATATGCATGAAAATTTTTAGTAAAATTAAGAAAAATATAAAAAAGACAGGAGCGGCTGGCCGAAGAAACGCTTTAGGAAAATGAAAAAATAATGCTGCGAAATGCAAAAATAACATTCAGCCTGATGTGAACTCAGCCTGACGGACTGCAGGACATGTGAAAATATTATGTCAGCACATCGAGACGTTTGTGTGGGAAAGAAAGCTATAATCAAATAGCTAGGGAGCAGCCTCGGGGGATTTAGGGGGAAGAGAGTCAAGCACAGTGCCTCGCCCCGTTGTGATTCTCCAATTAAAAAGCCGTTAATGATGCGTGGCCCAAAAACACGACCAGTGCAACCCCAAGGCCCAGACGTGTCGCCCGAAACGCCTCAATGGCGGCCTGATTGAAAACTCAAATGTATGCGATCCGCCCCCGATGTTCGGTGCTCGGGTTTATTGTTTGTCTTTGACACTGACGTACACTTTTTAATTTCGATGGGTTGTCTGCGGACAAACGAGGCATTTCCGGGCCCGATTAACGCCATTCAATTGGGATCTTCGCCATGGGAACTCTGCTCCTGACTTGGTCCTAATTATGAGCTGCCAGAGAAATGCGTGGGAATTCCATTCAGCACTTTGAGTTCTCTGTGGATATAGCCTGCTGCTCCACCTGTGGTTTCCTTATTTCAATATGAATTTACATTAATCGGGAATACGATATCCCGGAACCGACAGTCTAGGCCATCCCGAGGTCATGTCATTGCCATCCACTGGAAACTCGACAAAATAAATTTTATGAAGAGATGCTTCTACAACCACAGGTCATAGAGATACAGAATGCTCACAAAATTCGATTAGCATTTCCATTTTCATTGGCCTTGGATTCGCGAAATGTCCACTGCTGGACTGCCCACTGTCAAAAACTAATTAAAAAGCTCAGCTAGGAGCTCGGCCATTGCCACGGCTAATGCCAACGTAACTAATTTTGATGGCCCATTGATTTGGTATGCAAAACACACACACTGCCTAGCCGAGAGGTTGTACCGGTGAGAAGGCATTAAATTCCACATGGCACAGGTCCTGAAATGCGATATGAGTACACCTAGTTCGTTCGGGTGCATAAATCACATGTTTAACTAATTAAACGAAACAGTAAATAACCATCTACCGGGTCCGGTCAACGGGAATTTGGTGGACTTAATGACTAGACGAAATGCCACCGTAAACGGGAGTCTCCGATCATAAAAACGCCCCAGTATGCTCCGGTTTATCCTTTGGACTCAAATTCAGAGGGAGATGCAGATGTGATCCCCAGGCGCAATAATCGTAAAAATTGCATATTAAAATTCATTCGGGGGGCGTGAGCCGCTTCAGTTTTCTTTTTCTCATTTGCTTGCTTCTTTATTATTTCTTTTTATTATGCTATGCCTTTAAAATGTTTATAAATACAGTCAATTTGCTGTCAACTTTTGAACTTGCCACATGTGTTCGGCTTCGGCTTTCGAGCTCTAAAATGTCAAGAGGTCAACGGCAACAGCTCATTATAATGCAACCGACTAGGCCCAAGTGAGTGACACTCTCTCCATCGACCAACAGAGATTTGTTCGAATTGGAAATTATGCTAAAACATATTCGGCCGCCGCACATCGAAGAGCAATGCTTCGATAGCAATAGTGGCTTTTCCGACACGCATGTCAACGCAATCATTTGACATTTTGACAGGAATCCCTTGATTTTTGGGGGAAACAGAGAAAAGGGATCAGGATGCGATGTGCTAGTTCATGTTGGTGTCGCGCCTGCGCGGCTCAGGTTACAAATTAAACAGCGACAATGTCAGAGTTTTCCATTTTTCTTGGCTAAACAAAATCAAATTACGGCCTGACAAATTTACTCGCTTAACACGATGAATGATAGGACTGAGATATATTACTTATCTTATCTTTTAATACATTTTCTATAAAAAAAAAGAAAGGGAAAATGTTTCAAATTAAATATCCATCAAATCACAATGTCTTCTATTTAATCCTATTGTGACAGCTAATTAAAACTCGACCCTTTTAGTTGGAAATGTATTTATTTATTTAAGCACAGCCCCCAATCGCATACAGATGATGTTTGGGGTTAGAAAACAAACAGAAACCATAACAATATCTTTCATGGATGCATCTTGTTACCAAAAACACCCCAACTCCGATTTAACCCGTCCTCACATCAGCAACACGGCTTATGGAAAATATGAAGTAAATAAACTCTACCATTTGCAGCACTGTCAAGTGGAAAATCATTGACAAATTTATGAAGTCAACATACACCCAATGTGTTTATATATACGTATTAAAGGGACTGCAGAGCGGAAAACATAAAGTTAAAAATTTCATTAACAAATCGACACCGCGCAGTCTCATTACTTGGCAACAAATAAATTTTATAAAGTACGCTTTTATTGTGTGCATTTCCTCTTGTTTTATTTACGATTTTCATTAAAGTCATCGGACAGGCGGCATAATACCACCATCCGGGCCAGACCATAAGCCCATAATATTGACCAAATACATTCAGGACCCCAGTTTAACCATTAATGTTGCGTTTCAAAAATAATTTCATTGATAAATGAAAATTGCTTACATTTGCAGGAGCTGTGGCAAGGATAAGGGCCATTCAATTGCTGGCAATGGAGCCAATTAAGTGGATGGATTTCGAACACATATCGTATCAAGTGGAGGTGCCAAGTGAATCATTGCGCGTTTTAATTGAAACTGAAACTTGCCTCAGACAAATCATAAATTGGGCAGCCGCGACAGCCAGAGCATCGCAGGCCTACCCACGCACAAGACAAATTACCTTAAATCTTAAGAAAATTAATAATCACCGGGGGAGGAAAGCGATCTTCGGCAACGGAAATGGCTGAGTGTTTTCCCAAGAAACGTCGACGCGCGTCATCGCCACAAACATAAACATCAAATCGCATTGACATCAGACGCGGACCAGGTCTATAGGTCTTGGCCAAGACCAGCGACTAGAATTTACTGCAACAAAAAAAATGGTTGATTAAACAACAAAGTGTTTCTAATGTAACAGGCCAAAGAGCATTAATTTATTTTCATACAAAAATCAATAATTTTTTCTTATTTATTCGGAAACTTAATCCCATATTAGAGTATAATTTTTTTCTCAGTGCACTGACGTTAAAAAGTATGGTCAAAAATCGCCTAATTTTAACAATGATGTAACTTGTCGCAATCGGGCGACAACAAAGGCAATGGCCACACAGTTTTGGCCACGAGCCCAATCTCTTGGCCAGCCAGGCAGCCAGCCAGCCCGACTGCCAGCACTCCGTTCGAACCGATTCGCGAATGACAAACGCGCAAGTGGTAAAAATTGTGTGTTAAACGTTTCTGAATTGACTTGACGCGACCGGCCCGAAACCAGAACCTCCGACCAGGCCAAGAACCAGGGGGCAGGCCAGCTGCCATCCCATCTGAACTGGCGAACGTGCGCCAA